CTGTTCTGCCAAGTGTGATGATAGCAAGTACTATGAAACCCATCCAGCATGCATGTCGTAGAACAGAAAACTCCCGTCAACCATCATGCCATGAAAGGTATGTGTTCTTGATGACTATCCTCCTCCCTTGCGCTCGTTGTATCCCATAGCAGATCCGGTCAAAAATATGCTCCACCACTTCCGCTGACTCCTCTCGTGCTTAGATGGCGTACTTCCTGGTCCACTCGCGTGCCGTCGATTCGTAACGGGACCGGTCCGTCTTGTACACATGTGCAATCTCGGGGACAAGCGGGTCGTCGGGGTTGGGGTCTGTCAACATCGAGCAGATACTCAGCAGCACTAGAGAGAAGGGAGAAAAAACTGTCAGCCATGTCCACACACGCAGTCGGCGTCTTCCCGAGAGAGCGTACCCTTTGAGATGGTTAGAGCAGGGCTCCACTGGTCTCGCAGAATGTCCAAGCAGATGCTGCCGTTGGAGTTGATGTTGGGGTGGTAGATGCGGGTGGTGAAGTTGACCTTTGGGGGCTTGAAGGGGTAGTCGGTCGGGAAGTGGATCGCGAGGAAGAAGACACCGCCGGAATATGGTGAGTCGCCCTGGGCTGGTTAGTCGCTGCTGGTGTCATGGCCACGGGTGGACATACAGGACCCATGATGGTTGCTTGCCAGTGGAACTAGACCGCAAAGTCAGTATACTCGTCTTGAACGCGGCTGGTCTCGCCCACGGCTGTGTCGACAAGAGCGCCTCAGCCGCACGCGTTCCGTAGCAAAGAATGACGTACCAGATCATCTCCGATGGGGCCAGCTGAACAAGAAGAGGGAGGGTCACTGCGGGTGCCAGGTCAGCCAGATGTCTCTGCGTGCTCGGGCAGCGAGGCCACGGTGTTGAGTATTCGCTTTGCTGGGGCGGCCGTGGCTGGCATGCTCAGAGCAGTGCTGGCCGTGGTGGGCGGGGGGGGGGGCGAAAGGGCGGGAGCAGCACTCACCGGCCGAGGTCTGTGAGCTCCTTGTTGATGCGCTTGAGAGCCATGGCTGGTGTGTATGTGTGTGGGTGGTAGGTGGGTGGGTGGTGCGGTGTCGCGGTAGATGCGGTAAAGAGAGTTGGGTGGTGTTGCAGAGTTGAAGTGGGATGTCTGCGCAGGCAGGGCGGTTAGTTAGCGGGGGGGTCCAGAGAAAGCAAGTGCGGCGTATCAGCGGCGCAGACGCCGCCCGCCACGCAACTTCACCTACCGGGGACGGCGACGGCGACGCCAACTATGTGCAGGCCGAGCGGCAAGCGGTCAAGGCAAGACAAGGTGAGTGCAGTGAAGGCGAAACCGGGCGGTGCAGGGGCGGTTGCATTTATCATGTGTCGCACCCAAGCGCAACACGCGAGACGAGACAAGACAAGCCCGGCCGCCCAACTGCTGTCGCTGCCCACAAAATTGACCGAGCCAGAGCCATGCTGCCACCAAGCCGTGGCAACCTATCGAAGGCGGCCGAAGATGCGTCAGGCCTGACATTCACCGCGCTGCCTCCTTCACGCCTCTTCACACCTCTTCACGCCTCTTCACGCCCCTTCACGCCCCCCAGGCCCGCCCACCAACACGTCCCGGCCGCTGTTCCAACCGCCGTTTGGGCGCCCACTGGTTGGACACGCGCAGTCAGAGAGGCCATGCTAGCCGCGTCCGAGGCGAGCCTGCGCCGCTGACAAGGTTTGATCTGCATCTATTTCTAAACCATCTCTGTTTGCATGCACAGCATTTCTACCGAGCGCATACACCCGTCTTTGCTACATGTTATTGGCTGGCGTCGTCGAGTACATTTCTTCAGCAGTGCAGCAAGACAAGGTTGCCTTGGTTTGCGTCCGCGCAAAGCAGCATTACAGTATCCTGTCCTCGCAACTCATCAACAGAACGCCTGAAGGCCCGTGATTGCTCGGCCAAGAATCAACGCTATTCCAAAGTCAGTCGCCATTCAGGCACATGTATGGCCTTACTCACAGTGAATGTCGCTCTGTCCTTCGTACGTCTGCGTCACAAACAGATTGGCCACGTGCCGTCCAATGCCGTACTCGTCAGAGACTGCGTTTCCACCAAACACTTCCTGCAGCCTGGGCACAAGTCAGTTTGTGCTTCAACAAGCGTTTGCCACGACTTACGTCCGAGCGTTGACCAAGGCTCGATCACAGTTCTGCCTCTTGATCATCGAGATCATCTCTGGTGCAGCCTTGCCCTCATCCTTGAGCCGGCCAACTTGGAGGGCTGCAAGAATTCCGTATGCAGCGTCGGTCGTTGCGTCGGCCAGCTTCTTCTGCACAAGCTGGTACTTGGCAATGGGGTTGTTCTTGAACTGCTTCCTCTCCAGCGCGTACGTGCGTGCTCTTGCGATGCAATCTTCCAGCGCGCCCATAGTCCCCCACGCAATGCCATATCTTGCCGCGTTCAGACAGCTAAAAGGTCCTTTCAAGCCCTCCACCTCGGGGAACATGTTTGCCTCGGGCACGGGGCACTCGTCCAGCTGGATCATGCCAGTGATGGACGCTCGTAGCCCGTTCTTGTTTTTGATTGGTGGGGTTTCGAGAGTACCTGGCGGACACTGGTCACGCTCTACGACGAAGCCACGAATTTTGCCTGTGCTTTCCAGCTTGGCCCATACCAGCAAGACATCGGCAATGGGCGAGTTTGTGATCCACGTCTTGGATCCGGATAGCGAGTAGTAGCCCTTCTTGGACGGATGTTCCTTTGCGACCGTCTCCATGGAGCCAGGGTCAGACCCGTGATTGGGCTCAGTAAGACCGAAACAGCCTAGCAATTGGCCCTTTGCCATCTTCGGCAGAAGCCGCTCCTTGAGCTCTTCAGTGCCAAACTCTTTGATGCCTTCCATGGCGAGTGAACTCTGCACAGAGTAGCCCGAGCGGTATCCCGAGTCCACCCTCTCGACGGCCCTCGTGATCAGACCGCCAGCGACGCTGCTGACGCCGGCACACTCATATCCTTTGATGGTTGCACCGAGCAGGCCGAGCTCGCCCATCTCTTGAATAATTTTCCTGTCAAAGTTCTCATTGCGGTATGCCTCTGGGAATCCGTCAGCCGGCTGCAGAGTCGAGTCCAAAGTCTCGTGTACCTAATACCCTGGGGAGCATGCGCTCTTGACAATATGACTCGGCTGTCTCTGAGATGGCTTGCTCTTCCTCGGTCAGCAGATCGTTGGCTTTGAGTGGATCTTGCCAGTCAAAGGCCACGGGAGTATGCAGATAGCGCTTTCCCATAGGCGCGGCCCGCACTGGGGCGCGCAATTGCCCAGAGGCATGTCTGTACATCGGGCGAAGCATGTTGAGGTGGTTTACAACAGCCGAGGAAATTTATAGCAGTGGAGGGTAGAGGAAACACCCAGAAATAAATAGAGTTGTTATATCCGAAGACACGAGAGGATATCCGCAAGTGTGTGAGTTTGGCCTCGGAAACCCCACAGTCGAAAGAGGTGGGAAGCGGTTCGGAGCTAGGTACTCCGCAGTGGCAAGAGAGCACACATCACCTTGTCCAGTATGCGGCCACTAGTACTCGGTCACGGGCGTCTGCGGCGTCTAGAGTCTGTACTCCGATTCCGTATCCGGTGCTCGTGTGCCCAGGACGTCTGCAGAGCCTCATTAAGCGATTGCCATTGCAGTCCAGATGTGGGGTAATGGTGCCAAGCAATGCGCGCCGTGATTGCGCGCCACAAGACGCGGACGCGACGTGACACTCGTTGGCGTCACCTTTCCAGCCTTCGCGTAGTTGCCTTTGCCTCGACGCCCAACACCACCGACTCAACACCCGTCAAATCACACCCTCGATACACCGCACATACAATCAGTCGCAATGGGTATCAAGCACCTCTACCAGCTCATCGACGAGCATGCGCCCGAGTCGATCAAGAAAGGCGAGATCAAGAACCAATTCGGTCGCAAAGTCGCCATAGTAGGTCAAAACACCCGCTTACTATCAGAACGACCGCTAATTCACATAGGATGCGTACGCTCAAACAGATTCCCATGATTGATCTAGCCTAACACTGTGTAGATCTATGAGCATCTACAGCTTCCTTATCGCAGTCCGCTCTGATGGACAGCAACTCATGAATGAATCGGGCGAGACGACATCACATCTCATGGGACTCTTTTACCGCACAATGCGCATGGTCGACAACGGAATCAAACCCCTCTACGTCTTCGATGGCGCTCCACCCAAACTCAAATCCGGCGAACTCGCAAAGCGATTCCAGCGCAAGACTGAGGCACAGGCTGCACACGATGAGGCGAAGGAGACGGGCACAGCAGAAGATGTGGAGAAGTTTTCGCGACGGACAGTCAGGGTGACGAGGGAGCACAACGAGGAGTGTCAGCGGTTGCTCAAACTCATGGGCATCCCTTACATCATTGCGCCAACTGAGGCCGAGGCACAGTGTGCTGTTCTAGCGAGGGGAGGAAAGGTGTATGCGGCGGCATCAGAGGACATGGACACGCTGACATTTGCTTCGCCCATCCTGCTACGACATTTGACCTTTAGCGAGCAGCGCAAGGAGCCCATTCTGGAAATCCATCTAGACAAGGTGCTCGAGGGTCTGGCAATGGACCAGAAACAGGTGAGGTTCCGCCAGTCACCAACTTAGCCATGCTAATGATTGCATAGTTTATTGACCTCTGCATTCTCCTCGGCTGCGATTATCTCGACCCGATCAAAGGCATTGGGCCAAGCACTGCTCTCAAGCTCATCCGTGAGCATAAAGACCTCGAAGGTGTCGTCGAGCATATCAAATCACAATCTTCCAAGAAGCTCACCATCCCCGATGACTGGCCATTCGCCGACGCCCGGCAGCTTTTCCTCGAACCTGATGTGCGTCCTGCTGACGACCCAGAGTGTGACTTCAAGTGGGTGGCGCCAGACGTGGAAGGCCTTGTCAAGTTCCTGGTTGAGGAGAAGCATTTCAACGAGGATAGGGTACGGAACGGAGCAGCCAAGCTACAAAAAAACATGAAGACGGCGCAGCAGAGTAGGCTAGAGGGTTTCTTCAAGCCGATTGAAAAGACTGCTGAAGAGAAGGCAACTCTGAAGCGCAAAGCCGAAGAGAAGCTTGAGCAAAAGAAGAAGAAGCAGAAGGAGAATGCAAAGGCCAAGAAGGAGGCCAAGGCCAAACCCAGGACCGCTGGCTGATGAGCTCAAGGATGTTGGAATCTGAAACACTGCAAGCAGGGAAAAGCGGCGTTATGGGATTGTGATACCGATAGGCAAATGGCGTCTTGGGCATATGGGAGTGCGTAGGATTGCACATAGGTCTATTTGCCGACTATACCGATATAATATTTGGCGCTGTCTGCCGCTTCTTGAAGAAACAACTTTTCGTATCAAAATCAAGTATATTCAATAAACCTAATCACCTCGCGAGGTGAGAAACTGTCATGAATCAGCATACGAAACTATATTCTCCTTTCTAGGATCCAGAAACTCTCTGTTATTCATGTACACTGGTATCAAAGTGGGCGAAACTCTATCTCACATGTATCTAAAATGCAAAAGCCAGGCTGCATAAAACCTCATGCAAGGCAGTCTTCCCACGCATGCACATGCTTTAAATAAGCTCGCCTATCTTCTTGTTGATGTTTCCCACCTGACATCTCATCCATTCCCTTGGTACAGCCACGTGCATGTTTATGCAGACAGCATGTCAAACTCTATTATGCGATCTACAGCATGCAGATTTTAGACTGGCAGATGTGACTGCATACAGTCACGATGTGTGGATGCAGGATTATGCGTCTCATCCCTGTTCCTAACAAGAATAATAGCAACAGCAACGGAAACATGCAGAGATATTCCAAAGATGTCTTTTGACATGGAAAGGAATGGGGAGAAAGAGTGGGCGGAGTAACAATGTAAACCTCCCTCTTCATCTCCAACAGAGCACACCAACCAAAAACAATCAAGGAGCGAAAAAGTGATAATAGAATCACGTAGAAAGTTAACCTACGTTGCTATTAACAAAGTCATTCTTGCCATATAGTAACCAAAAAAACACTGCTCTAATAGACTCTCCAAATACCACACAACCCCTTCTCATACACAGGCAAGAAAAATTCCTCCCAGGAAACCGTTGAAAAAAGACCACGCACGCAATACACGCAATACCACGCAATACATCCATGCAGCTATGTGCGACGAAAATAAGACCACAAGCCGGGTCCGCGGGTCAAAAAATTCGGCAACTACATACATACGTAGGCGTGCGACGACGACGGCGACAAGGCGACAAGATGACGACTCAAAACTGCACAGACACACCGACACATGCACATACACATGCTTTAACTGACTCCTCAAACAAACACCGTTGCACATATACTTGCCCCATCCCAGCGCCTAAAACAATAGACGCGGAAACCCCCAGTTGTCAGTATTGCCTAAAAATAAAAAAATAAAAATGAGGCTACAAATATCGAAATTAAAGCAAGCCGACTACTTAACTCACTAACTAAGCAATCAAGCAATCAATAATTTTTTTTAAAAAAAAATAAGAAACAACGGCAGTGAACTTCGGGAAAGACGACACAGGGAAAAAAAAACAAGGGTAGGGTAGGGTAGGGTAGGGGGGGAAACATTCACGACGTCATGTTCCTTGCGCGCCGGGGGGCAAAGACGAACTTTGAAATGTGTTGATAATATTTCGGGGGTACTTGCGCAGATATACGTCGCAGTAGGATTTTGGGTTATTTTTTTTTCTTACGTACGTAAGTAGTGGATTGGATTAAACTTAGTTTGGACGTATACGTAGCTAATCTCCATGTATCCTGCGCATTTGATCCGCATTCCATCCATCTATCCGTCGGTGTGTCCCCCCCCCCGTTTTAAAGAGAAGCCCGATGACGATGACGACGACCCTGGTGCTTGGAAACCCACCCCCTTTGCCTTGTCTTGGGCGCATGAGCGTGAGCGGTGCGCTCGCTTGCTCGCCTCGTCATGCTACTATTTTTTTTTTAATTTTCGCTATATACGTACGTACGTACGTACATACGTACAACATGTACTCGCCCATAGCGTGCGTGCGTGGAACGGAACTCCGGGGTTGGCGGGCGGGCGGGCGGACGCGAAAAAAAAGAAGAAAAAAAATCAAACCCGGGGTTGGCCTGGGAAGAGTGTGCGTCGTCGTCGCCGTGGACTTGGTGTTGTGGTCGCCGTCGTCGTCATCGTCGACGTTCGCCTCCGCCTCCGCCTCCGCCTCCGCCTCCGCCTCCGCCGCCGCCGCCGTCGCTTGCAGCACATTCACATCCATGGCCAAACTGCGGCTCCACGGCTCCAGGAAAGCCCGAGCCCGAGACTTTGGGGACTGCAGCGGGAACAAGGGAACACGGGCATCACCAGCGCCACGCTAACCCTGTTTTTCCAGTTTTTCCCTTTCCTATTTGTCCTGTGCTTTTCAGATTTTCTTTCTTGCCGCGTTGGGTGTGTATGTCTATGTGTGTGAGTGTTTGTGCGTTGTCTGTGTTGAGTCTAATATGACTATGTATTTTGGGAGTACGTATTACCATGACAAAAAAAAATTCAAAAAAAAAGTTTTCCTTGCTCTCTTTTTTTTTGGTTCGCGATTAATACCGTAAGTACTCGAGCAATAAGTCAGGAAACATACACACACACACACATACATACAGCCCCAACCCCCCCCCCCCCCCTTATTTCCGCGCGCTCCCGGATGCCCAAACGGCAAACGAGCAGCAACAAACACAGCGACATGCAGATTAGATTACGCAACGTACATACCATACGCACGCACGCATGTAGTTAGAAAGCGGAAAGCGCAAGAAAAAAAAGATGAAAATAGGGGCTTGGCGACTATCTCTCTGTCTCTCTCTCTGTGTCACATACATAGTTATCTCGGTCTTATACTTAATCTACACAACGCCCTCGCTACAAGAAATGAGTGGGGGGCGCTACTTACCAAGTCTCTACATACTATACACGCGTAAGAAAACCAAGGTGCCAAGCCCCGCGGGTCCTTGGTAAAAAAAAAAAACATGTACGTGAGAAGATAAGGCGTATATGTAGATAAGAGCATAGCAAAGACAAATACGTACGTACGTACGTACGTACATGTGTAGATAGATAGAGAGATAGAGACAAACCATCCGGAAACTAAGCCAAAAACGAAGACATGCGAATACTTGGAAGAGAGAGAAAAGGAAATTGGAAAATACATAAGCCGGACTTGGCAATTGTGCGTGGGCAGGGTAGATCCCTATTCTTAGGGGACTGGGGGGGGGAGAAGAGCAAGAGTGTTTATTTATTTTACCATGTATGTACCGTGTCAATCATATACGTATATGGCAGTCACTCGGTTTATTGCGTCCGTCTTACGGGGTTAAAATATCACGTACATGGGGTTTTTTTTGGCTTGGGACGCAGGGTTATCTACTGGGATTTTGGCGAAGAACATGTATGTAAGATGTACATACAGTAAGCCGGACAAAAAGAATGATGACGTTTTTCCCTGTCTTGCTCTTCTCTTCTCAAACCATAGGTTTTTTTTAAGTTGGGAAATCTGATGTCATTTTAATACCAGGAGGGAAGAGCTGCTAACAAGGATTAGGTTCAACAATGACTTGAGGTGCGTGTGGTACGGAGGACCAAGTATACAAGCTAAGTATTTGGCGCGGATTGAACAAATGCAAAAACACGTGTCTGCCATGTGTTCTGGGCGGAAAAAACGGAGAAGCGCGATAACGGGGCGGAGGGCCAACGGGATTGGGATAGTAATAGTAGTTCACCCACATAGGGTGTGGGAATCAAGATTATCGCCGTGGGGGAAACTGACTAGTGATCTGCATACGTAGATAAACTGTCGACATGCCATTTGTCACGGGTAGCCAAAGGACCAGATTCTTCTTCCCTCTCTTTGCCCAAACTAAACCCGAACCCAACCCGTAGGTAGCCTGCACGTAGTCCGTACATAGCCCGTACCAAACTGTTACACCTGCGAACAACGCCTCTTTCTCTCCGGGCAGACAAAGTGGACAAAAGAAAAAGAAAAAGACCAAATCGGATCTCGATCCAGAGCTGAAATGGAACCAGAACCACTCCGGAACCATTCCGAGCGGTCCTTTGCGCGGAGAGTTTTAGCCACGGTAAGCACCCGGACACCCGGCGGGCTGGTCAATTTTTTCCTTGTCCTTGCAAAGATAAGGTTCTACGCCGGTCATCCCCCCCAAACCCTCAAGCCACCCGCTATGCCAATTTCTATGGCGCAATGGATGCGCGCGCGGATGCCTTCGGCTAACCCCATACACTAGCAGTACTAGCATGCAAAACTACAAAGGACCCTGTGAAACTCGAAACATGTCACCATCGAGTCAAACCAGTGAACATGTGTTAACAACTGGCAACTTGGATTTGCCCATGGACCTGCTGATAAATCCCTCTTCGGCCATGTCCGTATGCCAGGTGGAATTGGTAGGTCGAGCTGCAAGCCATCGCTAGTAAATGCAGCTTGCGGACTCAAGTACCGAGAAACAAAGTTGACGACGCGCGCCATGGGACATACATAAGTCGTTTTTCGCAAAAGGAGACGCGTTAGTCATAGCGCGACACAGCTAATCAATGACAAAACGTTGTGCCGCCTTGAAGGATTTGCGTTTGAAAAAGGGTCTAGAGATTGGTTGGGTGACGTCGGAATTTCCCGCAAGTCGACTTTTTAGTTGGTGTTTAAAACGACCATGTGATGGTTGTGGGCTAAAGTGAAGCACTGTCAGGGTCTAATACGACCGCATTCTACCGTAGTCGTCAAGTAGCCATTTACTTGTATTTGATCCTGGAACATACCCTGCCTGTGAGAGCTTGCCTATAGGCGCAAAACATGGTCGAGTTATTTTCGCTCTTGCTTCGGGCTGGCCGCACGCATCATGCTCAAAATGCTGTCCTGTGACTTGGGTGCCAGCTTCAGCGGTGAATAGCGTGATTCTGGGAGACGTCGATTGGCACTGATGCTGTCCAAAACCCTGCACAGGTTAGCACAGCACTCTAACACATACACACTCTGATGCAAGGTGCATCGAGGCCAGGAGCAATTGCACTTGTTACCAGTCAGCGCTGATGAACTTGACAGTCTTGCCGCCAGTCCTTGCAATCTCTTTATGGATTTTGGTGGCAGCAAGACCACCGCCTGCGCCGCCTCGCGAGTTAACTGTGCCGAGTATGACGTGCGTGACTGTTCTTCGACCCAATGTGATGGAGTGGCTGGCGCCGTGTGTGGCCAGGATTTGCTTCAATTTGGCCTTCCCAATACACGCAGTGTCGCTGTTTCATGCGCACGACAGCTGTATTGGACTCGGAGGCGAATGGCTCTTTGGGGCGGGGGGGGGGGGGGCGTGCAAATGCAAAACAAAGCTTTGCGCGCATCGGCTGAGCAGCGACTCAAGACCCTGGCAGGCCGCAAAGTTTGTTTTCTCATCACAGAGCAGCAGCCTGTTGCCACATGCATCTGCAGCCCACGCCCACACCCACACCCACACCACGCAGCCAGGGGGCCTACAAGACCCGCCACGCCTTGCCACTTGCAGCGCCCTTTTGGACGGCCGTTGCAACGTCAATTAGGTGTACTGCCTCTGGCCCTCTCCACAGGCCCTTTGACGAGCTTAGGCGAGGCGGTGCGTCGTCGCCCTGGCCCTCGTTGCTGTTGCTATTGCTCAGCATGACGCGACCTGCAACCCCCCGAGGCTAACCGCGAAGCAGCATCAACATCCGACATGACTGGCACCTTGAACCACGACCCCACGACCCCAGCAGCCTCGTACGACGCCTATACGAGGGCGAGTGCCCCGTCTGGAGAAACGACAGTGGCTGTGGCAGCGTCACCAGCACAAGCCCCCACCCCTCGCCACACCTTGCCTGTTGCCATCGCTGCACCTGCCACACGTACTACCGCTACCTTCTTCGACCCTTGGAACAGCTCCAGCACAGGGCACCAGCGCGCTGAAAATCGCCTCTCCACATCCTCCTCATGGCGTGTGTCGCGCAGCCTGAAGCTACGCGAGCAGTTCAAGGCCGGCCGCGGCGGCGGCAAGCGGGTCGCAGACACGGTGGGTGCTGGCCGTGACGACGCTGCCCCCAACGCCCGCAAGCCAGATGGGCAGAAGAGTCTTGCTGAGGTCTGGCGTGCGAGCAAGACAGCCAAACGACCGCCATCGCAAGAGAACGACGTCGGGACCGTTGCCGAACTGACTCCATGTGCATCAGGCCACAACCAAACATATGCACAAGGTACGCCCGTTTCACTGTCACTCTATCACCGTCACATATCAACAACACCTGACACGCATCCTCCTAGAAGAATCCCACGCCTACTCCAAAGGCAGGGCTGGCGAAGATGGGGCGGCCCCGCTGGAGAAGCAGCAGCTATTCGTCGGCCTATGCTTCTACCTAAACGGCTCCACAGCTCCTCTGGTCTCTGACCACAGCCCTGACCCTCGCCGCTATCGCCCTATTGCCATCGCCCTCACCCGCGCCCTCGCCCTCGCCCTACACCTATTGCCCTCGCCCTCGATCACCAACGGCCCCGTCGCCGCTAGCCCGCAAACAGCTGCACGCACATGCATCACGGCCAACAGTGGATTGCAACAGTTAATTGTGGCAGATATAGTCCATTACTCGAGCGTGCCCAAGCCAAATAGCGTTATACAAAGCTTTTCCGATGTGGCAGCGCGCCCAGCATTAAATCCGGTTTGCGCTGGCCTTCCTATGTACAGCCCAGCCCGCAAAAAGCAATATAGCCCACCCACTCAAAACAAATGTATACTGCGCCTGTCCTATGCACCCGATTCCGGAACACCATGCTTGATCCATCGTAGACGACATATGCCCTAGTGTGCTAACACGAAAGGAGAAGAAACAAAAATTTGGCCCGCAAAGGTTGATGCTTGAGATAACGCCCGCTAAACCGAGAGACAAGGGGGTGCCGTGGCCGCACCCTCAACCTCGGCACGACTTTGCAGCCTCGTGAAAAAAAAAGAACAGAACGGAAAGAGAGGGGGGTACGAAGGGCGAAAGGGGGAATAGAGACAGAAAAACAAAAACAAAACATAACAAAACAATAGGTGGTATTCCAATAAACCCGATGTCATACAGCCAGCATGTGGGCGGCATTGCGTGCTAGGCCTTCCTTGTGCGTTGTTGCTGGCGTGCAGGTTCGGTCCGAAGAAAAGTGCTGCCGGAGCCTGTTGATAGCCGGGCCATATCACTTTGACTCGTGAGCAGACGATATCGTCATGAATTCGTGATTCAGGTCGTGGCCAGCCGGCGGGACCGCCTAGACTTGCCCACTGGCCTTTTTGCTGACTGATGCTTCGTACATCAAGCGATGCTTCTTCATCTCGTCGGCATCAAATGGCAGTGCGTCGCTGCCTTTTCGGCTCGACAGGGACGTCGAGCTGTTGTTGCCAAATCGGATGCTGGCCAGCGACCGAGCCTTCTTGAGCGACTTCTTTCCAACATTCTCGCCCGTTTGGGGAACGTAGTCGGCCGCGTCTTGCTCTTTGATGCGTGTGATTTCCTCGATTTCGGGTCGAGGCTTGACGCGCATGCGCCTAAACTCGCGCGTGATCCTCTCCAGCTTGCTAGGGCCTTTGGTAGAGGATGCATAGGTGGGCATTGGCTCTTGCACCGGCCTCTCGTACATGCTGGAACCTATGCTGGGCCTACGCTCCGAACCAAAGCTGACGCCAGAGTCATGCTTCTTGTCCTTTACAGGTCCATGGACATAGCGGTCGAACGACTCTGGGCCATGTGTTGAAATGCAGTCCTGAATCATGTTCTGCGCCACTCGAAGGTACTTGTCAACAATCCTCTGCACAGAGGGCCAGCCAGTAGCGTCTTCCGGGCGCTTGTCCCGGTGGATCAGCGGAAGCAGCACGTCAGGACCCCTTCGCTGCACTTGGCTGATCATGTCGAAGAAGACCTGGCGCTCTTCCTTGAGGGCCTCGTGGTCCAGATACTGCGAGGGGAGCGTCGTCTGGCTGTGGACAGGGGGGAACAGCGTATTGAGGTAGCTGATGCAGTTGAGCTTGTTGAACTCATCGTCTGAAAGATGGTTGATCATAATCTAGCAGCCGTTGTTAGGTCATCCAAGCAAGGCCGAAAGTGGGACAAGAAAAAAGCTTACCCATCGACGGAGCCCTACCCAAATTTGGGCATAGTACGACTCGGCCTTATGGTTCTTGCCCTCGAGGTTGTTGATCCAAAGAGCAATGCCCGGTGCCTTTTCGGCGACACGGGCCATGTCAGCCTCCCAAGTGTCCCTGTGCACATCAAGGGCTTCGAATGTAGTCGCCATTTCTCTGCGCCGCCGGGTCTCGAGGTCTTTGAGGTAGTCGAGCGCGGTCAAGGCCTGGCTCCAGTCAACGTCAGACGGCTCGGGCATGAAGGTCCGTGAAACAAAGTTGACAATGAAGGCAGGCGGAAGGGCGCTGGTTCGTGTGGGCAGGGCCTTGAGCTGACCCATCAGAGACGAGGTGAAACTCATGGCGGCGGCTTCGGCACTGTTCCAGGCAAATTGGCCATTGACAGGAGACGTGTTTCCAGACTTGTGCAGCATCTTGGGCAGCGGCTGAGCTCGGTCCACGCGGTTCAGTTCGTACATTGTCTTGAGCGGGATGTCATAACTGCCGGGATACTGCAAGACGTGTTCGAGGATGTAGGCCATGGAAGAATGGTTGGACTCTTCTGAGCCGGTGCGTGAATGACTGGGTGCCATGGCCGTGGCTATGTAGTCGTGTGCGCGATGGGCGAGCGGGACGCGGGTTGCCTTTTGTGCTTTCTTTTGCAAGATGGCGACGCTGCAGCAGCAGCACTAGGGTGCGTGTGGCAGCGCAGGCGAAGCCGCGGAGACTCGGGTGGCTGGCAGTAGTGGTGACGTGGGGTTATCTCGTGGTGGGCCGGAGTGTGGGGAGAAGGAAAGAAGACGACGGGGCGACCGGGAGCGGAGCCAGACAAAAGGAAAGCGCAACGGAAGAGGCGACGCCCTAGGGGGAGGAGAAGCAAAGAGGAGGCTACCGGGGAGGTTGTGGTGTGGTGGAGAGAGGATGGTGGTTGTTGGAGTTGTTATTAGCGGTGGTGGTGGTTGTGGTGGTGGTGCAGTGTTGGCGTTGTTTACGTTGTGGTTGCTAGTGCAGGCGCGGATGGGGACAATAGAGAGAGGCGGGCACCAGATGTGGGCGTGGTCAAGGGTGGGGGGTGGGCACAGCAGGCGAGGGCGCGGCGAGCAAACCAAGGGCAGAGGAAGCGTGGAGTCGAGGCGGAGGAGAGAAGGAGATGTATGTGTAGGAGGAGGAGAGAGTGGTGCGGGCAGGCGCGGGCAGCCAACGGATAGGTATACAGAAAGGGTTTTTGCGTTTGCTCTAGTCGACGCTTCTTTGCTCGTCGCATCCCTGCGCGGGGGGCCCGTGATGGTCGCGTTCGCACTTGCATAAGTGGCGTCAGTGACAGGGTGTTCCAGCTTCCCCGAGAACCATGACCAACGCGGCCTAGCGCCTGCCGCTCCTTCCCCCCCTCCCCGGCCCAGGGCCAGCAACGCCTTCCCCGTCGAGCGTCGAGCGCAGCAGCACCTGAGACCTGAGCATCGAGGCATGCCTGTGCACGACCACGACCGCGACCGCGACCACGACCACGACCATTGTCGCCGTTGCCGTTGCCATTGCCATTGCCATCACCACCATCATCATCATCATCACCATCATCGCCATCGCCATCGCCCCCGCCAGCGCCACGGCCCCTCTGCCACGCAGCCCGCGCAGCACTACGACTACAGCCCACGATGGACGGCGACGCCGTGCTGCTGGACGGGGTGGCCAACGCCTGTGGCTCAGGCTGAGTGAGTGAGAGTGGGCGACTGACTGGCTGACTGGCCGACTGGCCGACTGGCTGGAATGGGCGGGCTGACTGGCGGGCTGGCTGGCTCGCTCGTCGGCCGGCCGGCCAGCTCATGCCAAGGCGAGACAAAAGGGTCCGCCGTTCCGGCGTAGAGCCTCCCTTGCCTGACTCGGGCCACACAGAAAAGTCTGCCCAACTCGTCCTCTTCGGAGCACCGCAACGCAAAAGCCTCCCCGAGGCCGCGCTGGCGACGCCGCTGCCCTCGCCCTCGCCCTCGTGCTGCCACTGCTGCCAGCGGGCCCACTTGGCTGCGAACTCGACCGTGAACTCGCCCACAGGCTTGGCCGGGCCTTGCAGATTCCATACAGTCGTGCGTCTGCAGCCCCGTTCGACGCCTCCAGTCAGCGGCCCCCGTTTTTGCGGCCCTGCCAATGAGAAAATTACATGTACTGCCTCTGCACGCCTGGGGCTGGCCACTAGCATGCGCGCGAGTACCGGCATTTGCAGCGACGACGGCCACAGGCACAATGCATGACGGTGCCTCTGCTGGCCCTGCTGGTGCTGACGACGACCCTGGGCCGCCGCCCCCTCGCACCACCACGCAGCATGTACATATAGCAGTACATGCTATGTCTGTACACTAGCTGCTCGGCTCGACTGGCATTGTCGAGCCCTTGTGAAGGCTGCGGGGCCGGGGCCTAGCCCGCCTGTCACTGCTCACGGCCTCAGACTCGCCAATGGCACTGGCACTGGCACTGGTACCCTCGACAAGCACCCACCACATGCACCGTACCCGCAAACGACATGTACCTTGCAGACATGGAACCTGCAGCCACGCGAACTCGTCACCAAACTCGTGCTCGCCCCGTGCCCTTCCCTCCCCTCCCCTCCCCTCCCCTCCCCTGCGAACGGAGCCCGTGTGTGCCTCGTTTTTCTTTTACATGCTAGCACCCTTCCCACACCCGACACGCCTACTCTTACAAAAAAGCACGCCAACGCCCAGCTAGTCTCGCCTCCGGCACATGGCCTGCCATAGCACTACACATATACAGTACACAACACCGATGCCAATGCTACCTCGGCCTGCACGAATCAACGTCGTCCGCTGTCCGCTGTCCGCTGTCCGCTGTCCGCTGTCCGCTGTCCGCTGTCCGCTGTCCGCTGTCCGCTGCCCGCTGCCCGTCGCCCGCCTACCTGCCTCCCGCATCGGTCCGAGTGCGATAGGCCTGCATGCCGAATCCTTGGGCATCAACCACCAACCCTCAATGCTGCTGCATGCTGCGCATGACGGAAATGTTTCAGCCCTCTGGCCCGCTGCGTAATGCAAAGCAAAGGGCGCTCCTGAGAGCCTTATTAGTACCAGAGCTTCTCCGGCCTACCATCTCACACTCATCTCCTCGAGCGTAGCCCCAGCCGAGATTGTCCCATTGCACCGATCGAGCACCTGCGATCATTGCGCCAATCAGCTGCCGCCCTGGCCGCTCCTTACTTTGCTTTGCTCAACGCCCTCTGCCCAAGGAGTCAGCCATATAATACACACGAAAGTTTCATGATACGGCAGTTACGGACATCAGCCTTGGCTCATTATCGCAACACGGCGCAGGGCCATCGTGCCTATCCCAACTTGCTGTTCCTCTGGATCGAAATGTGGCCCGTTGTGATAATCTCCGTGGAGATCGCCCTGGGCTGAGGGCGGCCAGCTTCCCCGTCGTCTCCACATGTAAGCCTGCTCGTGTCTGATTGGCTGCGCCCCAGGGATGCCCCCTCTTTCATTAAGAGGAACACGATGGGGTGCGACAGGTGTAATTCGAATGGTACATGGCGGATGAATGTTTCTACCCACCAGCTAACCACACTAACATGGCCACTAGCTGAGCGCTGATCGGGGGGTCGGACGGCGCCAAACAAACTGCAACGCCCTCACTCGCTACACTCCCCCCCCCTCCCCACCACCACACAATCGACACCAGACTCGCATTCGCAACATTGCAAAAACACCACAACCCCCTCCTCATCCCTCTCTCTCTCTCTCTCTCTCTCAGCAGAGCACTAATTGGGTCCCTGCGGAGAAAATGCAAAGTCACCAGTTGCCATGCAACCAGCCACTGTCTCTCTACTGTCCTTAGGGCCATCCGTGCTTTCCACACAACGTGAGGGGGCCCCGCGTTCCAACGTGTAGTGGCGGAGTTGCGTCCGACAAGACAGGTACCAGCAACTAACTTTCTTATCGTCACGCATGACGATACATTTAATCTATGATGCCCAAGCTCAGCCTCAGGGGGAGCAGCAGAGAAAAATATGCCGTTATGGAATCATCTCCAAGGGCTCTGTTTGCCTATACATACACACACACCTGATGTGGCTTGGCAGTCAAGCCACACACGTGTGTGTAAAGACCAGCTAACCGCTTCCAGTGTGGCTAGAACAGCGCGCAGTCCACCTACACCTACACCTACACCTACACCTAGGGCAGGTGCACCGGAGAAAGGCCCTCACCTCAGAGGAGATACATCAAGGGGAAAAAGCAAGCATGATGGTGTTGGCTGGATTAGCCTTCATGCTAAGTGCCTTGAATGGAGGCTGAGTACGCCAGATCATCATCGTGCCTTCTAGACCAGCACCAGCGACTGACCTAACCAAGGCACCCAAACCGTTACTGACGTGCAAGATACGTAACAGCGACTATGAGCTGCAAGCCCAGTACCATCAAATCATGGACAGTCCAAACACGCCAACAATGCAGAGCGCACAATTGCCTTGTGTCCGATATTAGTGGGGGGGAAACCAAGATCTGAGATCCTTCAGCCACCACGGCCCTTGTTCTGCGCCCCGATGAGTCACCCCAACCAAGCAACCTGCCTATTTGAAATATCCTCCCTTCATCAATGCATCTTGGTCAGATGAACCACATAGTCGACTGCGTTGCCACTTCTCCCTTTCGCAATGGCGACTTCTTCTCCGCTCGACTTTGTTACCGTGGATGTCTTCACCTCGGAGCCTTACCAAGGCAATCCGCTAGCCATTGTGCGCATCCCTAGTGGCCGCACGCTAACTCAGGCACAAAAGCAAGCCATTGCGCGGGAGTACAATCTTTCCGAGACGACCTTTCTGCATGAGAATGCCGAGCATGGCGCGGATCGTGCCTGGACCGTCGATATCTTTATGACGTCTCGGGAGTTGCCCTTTGCCGGTCATCCAACCGTCGGCACGGCTTGTTATGTGTTGGGAAGAGTGGCGCGCGCAAGTGGTGCTGACCAGGGCGTCATCGAGGCAACGTTCAACTTGAAGGCCGGGCCCGTGGGACTGCGATATGATGTCGCCAAGAGAACGGCAAAGGCGTCGATACCTCATAATGTGTAGGTATATTATTCTGTTTTAACAAGACCAAGTTTGGGACGCCAATAGGATCGACTACTGACCTGTAACAAGCCATATCCATGGCAAGAGGTTTAGCAACAAGTCGCTCTTCGAAATCCAGCCTCGACTGGCAGAAGCCCACCAACAAGGCAACATCAAGGTCAAGGATGACTTTGCCATTGTCTCGATTGTCAAAGGCATGACGTTTGCCTTGATTGAACTGGAGAGCATCGAGGCCTTGGGCCTTGTGTCGCTAGCTAGTGCGTCCCTTGTGGTCGACGGCTTGGACGAGGGTTGGAATAAGACGTTTATTGGAACATACTTTTTTGTTCGCACAGGAAAAAAAGACAAGGGCGCAACAACGCTCAGGACACGTATGATTGAGGGCCCATTGGAGGATCCAGCAACCGGAAGTGCGGCCAGCGACCTGGCGGCTTATCTGTCGCTAGACGGTGGCTGTGCTGGTGAGACGTTGAAATACGAGATTGTGCAAGGCGTCGAGATGGGGAGACGAAGCGAGATTTCCATAGAGGTGCATATGGATGCGGCCGGGTCAATTTCGGAGTTCCATCTCGAAGGTGGCGCTGTCCAGGTAATGGAGGGTCGACTGACTACGATGTGAATAAGTGGATGTGAATAGATCCGAGGGCAGTACGCGTGGCTGGTGTCGAAGATTGTATCCGTGTTGGAGATTATTACGCGCAAGGGACGCGGTCAGCACCTTTTCTTCGCCTATCAACGTCAGTCGCAGGCGTCAGGATAATGCAACCTAACATGTTTCCGTCTAAAGGTGGTTACAGATGTAGATCTATTGTACCTGAAAACCCACTTTGCCTCAGGCATGCCGAGAGACCCGTTGCAGCCGATCTGCATGGGGAAATGTTGATTCAGTAATAACTGCAACTGGGCAAGGCACCGGCGAAAGACACGTAGCGACGTTGAACGTAAATTGTCTCAGCTTTTATTTCCCGGAGGCTCGCTTTGCCAATGCGGGGATGCCCGAGAAGCTAGAGAGGGACGTAGCCGCTGTGCAAAGGCCGACAAGGAGCAAATCCTGTCAGCGCGCGGAAACAAACACGCAGAGGGGGGAACACACGGCAAAGACGGAGAAGTCGGCCAGGCGAAGCGTTCGTTTTTCACAGTGCGACGCTTGACGCATTCCGGGTGACGAGCAGAGTCTGCTTCGTGGGCTGCTGCAGTGCACGTATGCAAGCAACACTGCCAACTCCTCAATGACTCTCCCAACAATAACAAGCTTCAGATAGCGGCGATCAGTCGGGTTGGCATGGCGGATAACGGCCGTCATGGTGTTGCCGTCGCCGTCACCGTCACCGTCACCGTCACCGTCACCGTCACCGGCACGCAAAGGGACGACTCATGGTCGGATTGCGCGATATGCAGCGGTGCAAAGCCGAATGCCTGTTGCTGGCCCGCGGGCCCTTCACCTGTCACCCGCCACAGCCGTCAGGCAGGAAGAATGACAGCATCAGCCAGCCCTGCCATGTTCGTGGTGCTCGACAGCCTGCTGAGGCTCAAGGAGGAGGCATGGGTTACAGAGTGGGTCGCAAAGTGCGTGAACCAATCTCCACGAACACGGTTACGACAGTGGCGAGGATGGTCGGATTCAATCACACAGGCATGCCGTGCATCCGGTTACCGCTGGCTGCATGGGAAAGCATTAGAAGAGTTTGAGTACGACGTCCTCGAAATTGAGATGGATCGGCAAAAGTGCCAGGTGTAGGGCGGCGGCAAGCTTCAATGGGCGCTAGTGCTGCCTGTTGCGGCTAGCGCTAACCGCCTTCGCGGCATTTCGTGCTTTACATGCCCGACCTCATACACCATCCGTTTCTTTTATTTCCTCCTCAATGCCTGGCGTGTTCCTGGCCAGGAATGGCTGCCAGGACAGCCTCAGTCAAGTCGACGCTATGAGTTGATGCCCGCACACCGTGCGTGATCTTAGGCATGCCGGAATTAGTCCAGGTGAGACATGTCTGCCTTCATCGCGGGTTTCATGCCCAAGGAACGCTGAGCCGCCTTGCTAGGTTGTTTTTGGTGTAGGCCCGGTCAAAATCGCCAAGCACTTAAGGGACTGCTTTTCCGTCGACTTATTTTGAACCATCATCAGTCGCTTGTTCTACCACAATCCGGTTCCGCATTTGAGGGTTACATTCCTTTCTCTTCCTCTTAATACTTACCTTTCAGATCACGTTGAACGTATCTGCTTTTTTTTCTTCTTCTTTCTTCCCATTGTAATCCACCGCTAGTCGGACGCCACTCTTTAAAAACCAGTACATTTTTTTCGATTCTAGTCTAAGTCTTCATCATGCGATTCTCAACTCTCCTCCCTCTTCTCCTTGCGGCTGGTGTCGTGGCTCAGGGCAATAAGAACGGCCAGAACAACAACAAGAATGGCCGCCAGAACAATGGTCAGAACAACGGTCAGAACAACGGTCAGAACAACGGTCAGAACAACGGTCAGAACAACGGTCAGAACAACGGTCAGAACAACGGTCAGAACAATGGTCAGAACAACAACAACAACAACGGTGGAAACAACAACGCCCTACAACTCAACCCCAACAACGTCCAGAAAAACAGTCAGTCCAATGGTCTCGGTAACAACGCGGAAGCTGGACAGGCTGCTTCCCTTACGTAAGTCTCCGCTGCAACATTCACTCATAGCTACCGTACTGACTTTTTACAAGTGACCCGGCCAACTTCATCAACCACTGTACCGGCAAGACGCTTACCAACGGTCTTCAGGTCAAGAGCGGATCTTGTAACGGTATTCGTGAGTTTGCTCCATCCGCCATATTCGTATCGGTTTCTAACCATTGCACAGCCATGGGCGATATTCCTTCGACTCAGAACATGATCTCCGCTGTCTTCACTAACCCCAAGGATGGTTCAACCGTTCAGGCCAACACGGCCATAAAGTTCAGCGTCCAAATCTCGAACTTGGCTGCTGGTTCATTTACTAACCCTGACGTCACCTACTACGCCGCTCCCCAGACGGTCAACGGACAAGGAAAGATCGTTGGCCACACTCACATTACTGTCCAAGACTTGGGCGGTAACATCAACACCAACACGCCTCCGGACCCAGTCAAGTTTGCTTTCTTCAAGGGTGTCAACGATGCTGGTAACGGCCAAGGTCTCCTCAGTGCTGATCTTGCCAAGGGCCTCCCTGCTGGTGTTTACCGTGCCTGCTCAATGACTTCGGCTAGCAACCACCAGCCTGTTCTCATGCCCGTCGCTCAACGTGGTCCCCAGGATGACTGTGTAAGGTTTACCGTTACCAACGGCGGCGGTAACAACAATGGCGGCAACAACAACAACAACAACAACAACGGTCAGAACAACGGTCAGAACAACGGACAGAACAACGGACAAAACAACAACAATGGCCAGGGCGGACAGCGTGGACGCGGACGTGGACGTGGACGTGGACGTGGACGCTTCGCTCGCCGTGACTTGGTTGTCTAAATGTTCAACCGCCGAGGTGATGATTGAGAAGATGAATGGGTGAGGCTTGGGGTTGGAGGGTGGTATTCGCTATAATGGTCCTTTCCTCTTTCACGACAATTATCAATGGTAGTTCACATAGAACGTGCTTCTGTCCCCTAGAAGGGCATGGAAAGTCACTCTACGGAGAATGGAGCAAAGCGCTTCATTGGACTGGTTCTGAGAGCGCTGTTTTTTTTTCCTTCTTCGGCGCTTAGTTACAAACACACATACACTCTCAATTGATTGCAATGTAAAATTACTACTGTTTTCACTCCTCGACCCTCATTCATGCTTTGCAAGTTTTGAAACTTGACCGAACAAAAGGCGAAGAATGGTGGAAAGATGGAAAGAGAAAAGGGAGAGAAAAAGAGAGAAAAAGAGAGAAAAAGAGCCCAATCCAGGCTCTGTCAGGCATGGGGAGGGCGGGGTTACCGCCGCATGAAGGCATTGGAAACACGGAAAAAAAGACGTCCTTGTCTCAGGAAACAACCCCCGGAGGTCGATCAGGCAAGGAACTGTAGCACCCGAGTATCGGAAACCGTTAGCACACGCCCATTAAGAGTTTGACCAAAGATAAGAGAAAGAGAAAAAAAATATGGCGCTTTTTGCCAATGTTCAGTTCCCAGACTGGCGGGAGCGCTTTTTTTTTTGTCAACGAACTGTGTTTGGTTGGCGCCCAGCTGTTAGTCAGACTTGAGTAATAACAAGCCCTCTTCGGACCTCTTGGGACCTGTCTCGCCGTGAAACTCGCACTTCGCCTCCTCCTCCTCCTCCCCCTCCTCTCCAGACGAGTGATTTGAATCCAACGCCACCGCCCTTCGGTAAGCAAATAGAGAGAGAGACAACCACAAGAAGTGCTAAGCTGCTTGGCGCCAGTTTCGACAGACTGTCATTGAAGAGACGTGTCGGAGCATCTGTAAGGACAGCTTGCTTGGCTGCCAAAAGTGAAATGTCAAAGGACCTTCTGCATGAAGCCATTGTGCTGGAGCCGAGTGGCAGTGCCGATGTCACGGAGCAAGCAGACTGGCTAGCTAGCTAAACCCCTCCGAGGTCACTGACTCACGAGCTATGCAGCTATGTGCACGTCAAAAGTCCAGGGGGGTGGGGGGAGGCGTCTAACCCAAGCGCCATCTGATACCATTCCGATCCGATTTTCCCCATCGTAGATGTGCACGGGAAAGTGTATTTTCGCCGTGCTAATTTACACCACACACAAAGTGTAGTGCGCCACGCATGCTCCTCTGACGGTGAGAGCTTTCTCCGGGCTCCAATGTGTGTACTGTCTTGCTGGTACACTTGATGTGCCTGTACCCTGTTGGAGGAACATGCAACGCATCGTTTCGCGGCATTTCCGAGAGTACGTATTTGGAATGACGAATTTTTGTGCCTCGTGCTGTTAGGTTGCCTGACGTCACTCTTGAGCACGCGCTGGCCCCGTCGCGATACCAAGACAAGACGAGCATCACATGCCTTGGCGCATGTATACAATGCCTGAAGGTTGCCTTTGTGTTCGATGCTGTCGCAGAGAATACACGACGTGTGATGTTCTGATCGCCAACCTCACCTGGGCCCAACGGAGCCATGCAATGTGTAAATGAAATACGCCACCGTGGGTGAGGTTTAGGCACAGCTGCCTGACAGGGCTTTGTATGAAAATCTTTGTGGGGTTTGGGTGCGACAGTGAGAAAAATATGCGGACATGAACAATGCCGCGGAGAAAGCTGGCAATGTGCTTTCATTGAGTGAAGACCAAGCGAGGTGGGACTCCAAGGGGATATAAAGGCTGGGGGTGGGAGCTTGATGTCTTGATCAAAGGGTGGAATCTTGATATGCTGTCATTCCGGTGGGAGGAAAACTTTTAACCACTTGCTTTCGACTTCCTTTCCAGAGACAGCAATATAGCCTCCAGCGCGTAAACCGGTGAACTCAGGATTGACACTGGTACCTAGCTGGGTTTGTCTTGTGAATGGCTAGATACTCCCGTTTTCTTGTGGGAAAGAATGGCCCAGAGTGTGCTGATGCCATCCCACATGTCCAGCCATATGATGTACTGAAATCCGAGTGATGTCGTTCACCGTTCTCGTTTCATAGAAATACACCAGAACGGCTGGTTGTTAGTCACTGAAAGAATACAAATACACATTGGTTCCCAAGTACGACTTGGTAGGGACCGTCCTGGGCGCCTAGTAATGACCGCTCGGCATGCTTAGGTTATGAAGCGACTGCCTTTGCGGAAGTCATGCGCTGAGCCACCAGACTGAACACAGCAATTGAAGACATGAATATGGCAATGTTGTAGAACTACAAAACTATCAGCTTGTTGTTTCATCCGCGTCAACGTCGGCGGACGACATACAGCCTTCCGCGAGTACTCGCTCTCTTCGGCTTCGCTGCGCGCTTCGACAAAAAGTCGACGTAGATTTGGCAGATTGGACGGCTAAAAACTAGAATCAGAACCATGGTCTCGAAAAAGTTGCGCAACCTTACCATGTTGATGTTACTGCGATGGCGGAGGGGCAAAGGCGGAAACGTCAAAGCATTGGGCTAGATGCGAACCAACGCACGGGCCTCATTATCAAGGTGGCAGTCGCGAAGCTCGACCAACATTACCCTCTTTCGCAATTCACTCCTCACGCCGCCACTCGACTTTCAAGCATAACACTTCCTCAATTTCTTCATAGAACCACCACAGAACTTGGACGGCCCGCTCCCTCGTACCGACCGTTTACATCCATCGGGCCTCGCGAGCCGGAAACGGAGGGGTTTGGCTAAGCAATTGGCTGCTACGTATCTATAAGGGATGGCTGTCAACAGGATAAGAGGCGCATTTGCGCCACCGCGCAAGGGAGAAACATTCGAGTTGCGGGCCGGTCTGGTGTATGAAGTTACCCCAGGCATCAGTACAGCTGTTCACAACTGACGCCCGCCTCTAGTTCCCAATATGCCTACGAACGGTGAGCGCCCAGCATCACGACAGAGTTAACGGCCGGCACGCTAAGACTGTGGTAGGAAAGAAGCCATCCAGAAGACCATCATGTCAATGACCCTAGGCAAGGACGTATCCGCGCTGTTTCCCGACGTATTGAAGAACATTGCAACTGCAGACTTGGACCAGAAGAAGCTGGTGTATCTATACTTGATGTGCGTGAATTCGCCACTGACTGGCCGCCGCAAACTGACAATACGCCCCAGGAACTACGCCAAGTCACACCCCGACCTCTGTATTCTCGCCGTGAACACGTTTGTGCAAGACTCGGAAGACCCGAACCCCCTCATACGAGCATTAGCAATTCGGACAATGGGCTGTATTCGCGTGGATAAAATGGTGGATTACATGGAGGAACCTTTGCGCAAAACGCTGAGAGACGAATCGCCATACGTACGGAAGACAGCAGCCTTGTGTGTGGCGAAGCTATTTGATCTCGCGCCCGCCATGTGCGTAGAGAACGGCTTCCTCGAGCAGCTCCAGGAACTAGTCGGCGACCCAAATCCCATGGTGGTCGCAAATTCGGTCACAGCCTTGGTAGAAATCCACGAAACCGCACCGGAAACCAAGGCTCTTGTCATTAGCTCGTCGCAGCTCAAGAAAATGCTTCTGGCGCTGAACGAGTGCACAGAGTGGGGTCGCGTGACTTTGCTCACTACTCTGGCAGACTACAAGGCGGCGGATACCAAGGAGGCAGAGCACATTTGCGAACGGGTAGTCCCGCAGTTCCAGCACGTTAACCCCAGCGTGGTATTGGCGGCTGTCAAGGTCGTTTTCTTGCATATGCGCAACATTTCCCCTGAGATGATGAAGTCATATTCGAAGAAGATGGCACCACCGCTAGGTTCGTATCCAATCTGAAGATGATGGAATTTCTGTTGACGTGTTTCAGTCACACTGGTTTCCTCTGCGCCAGAAGTACAGTACGTTGCGCTACGGAACATCGACCTGCTTCTCCAAAAACAACCCGACATTCTCAGCAAGGAAATGCGTGTGTTCTTCTGCAAATACAACGATCCGCCGTACTTGAAGATGCAAAAGCTGGAAATTATGGTGCGGATAGCAAACGATAAGAACGTTGACCAATTGCTGTCCGAGTTGAAGGAGTATGCTATGGAAGTGGACATGGACTTTGTACGACGAGCGGTCAAGGCCATTGGTCAAGTTGCCATCAAGATTGAAAGCGCGAGCGAAAAGTGTGTCAACACGCTACTTGATCTCATCAACACCAAAGTCAACTACGTTGTCCAGGAGGCGATTGTAGTCATTAAGGACATTTTCCGAAAGTACCCCGGCTACGAGGGTATAATACCGACACTTTGCCAATGCATAGACGAGCTGGATGAGCCAAATGCAAGGGCCTCTCTCATCTGGATTGTGGGAGAATATGCAGAGAAGATCAGCAATGCCGGCGAGATCTTGTCAAATTTTGTTGACACGTTTGCCGAGGAATTCACGCAAGTATGTTTAGCTGGTATGTATAAGGGGCAATGCTAACAGAGCCTAGACACAACTTCAAATACTCACAGCTGTTGTCAAGCTGTTCCTGAAGAAGCCAGATCAAGCACAAGGCTTGGTTACCAAGGTCCTGCAGGCCGCCACAGCAGATAATGACAACCCGGACATTCGTGACCGAGCTTATGTCTACTGGCGACTCCTCTCTAGCGACCCACAGATAACAAAGGTATGTGACCTCCATGAGATGATTTGGAGCCATTGTTGACTCGACCTAGGACATTGTGCTCTCGGACAAGCCTCCGATTACATCGACAATACGGTCACTGCCCCCTCAACTACTGGAGAACTTGCTTACAGAACTATCGACTTTGGCCTCGGTTTACCACAAGCCACCGGAGGCCTTCCTTGGACAAGGCCGGTTCGGTGCGGAAGCGATGCAACGAGCTGCCATCGAGGAGCAACAAGAAGAAGCACGAGAGAACCCCATTGCTGCTGCAGCGGCTGCAGCGGCTGCCAGTGGACAAGCGCCAACCAACGTGGAGAATCTCTTGGATATCGATTTCGATGGTTCTGCACCGGCTTCGATGCAAAAGCAGCCCACACAGGGCGCGTCTGGCCTAGAAGGACTTGCCGGCACACCACAGCGTGTGGCATCCCCAGTAGGAAATGCGGCTCCACAGCAATCAAACATGGACGATCTCCTAGGGTTGTTTGGAGACGGAGGCGGGGCGGCGCCTGCTCCTGGGGCGCAGATGAGCAACGACGACATTATGAATGGATTCGCAAACATGAGCATGCAAACCAATCAGCCACCTCCGGCGACTCAACAAGTAGCAGGCGAAGCGAGCAAGAAGAGTAACCAGGATCTTCTTGACTTGTTTTAGTGGGGCAACGGCGATGAATGGGTATGTGGGTTTGCGCATGGTACTAGGTTAGTGGGGAGGTTATGTCCAAGCAGGAGCATGCAAAGGCGCTAGGGAACTATATCCGGGTATGGAAATGTGTGTGTGTAGTGGGAGGAGTAGATGGAGGGAGAGTAAAGTAAAGTGGGAATGGTAGTCGAGACCAAACCAAAACCAAGAAGAAGTAGAGGACGAATGCATGTTCTTTTTTTTTCTTCTCTTTTTTCTTTTTTGGTTTGCCGAGTGGGATTGCCGAAAGTTAGTATCTGATGAAAAGCTCGACATTTGCTTGATTGATTATGCATTGTAAGCGATACTGTAAGCTCGTATGTTGTGTTGTGCTCTCTCTCTCTCTCTCTCTCTCTCTCTGTCTGTGTGTGTGTGTGTGTGTGTGCGCTGTATGTATCGTGTTGATACATACACACACAGTACATACATACATAACCCAAAGAACTGACTCCTGACTCGCCCTGAAACTTGGTTAACGCGGTTTTTTACCAGGTGACTAGGTTTACGTGGTTTACGTGGTTTACGTGGTTTACGTGGTTTACGTGGTTTACGTGGTTTACGTGGTTTACGTGGTTTACGTGATTTACAAGGGGGGGGGGCAAGCCAAAGCAAAGCCAGAGGGCAATGACAGCTTGACTTGACAGTTGGCAGTTTGTTATGTACATGCTAGCACGTTTACTTTGTTAGTTTAGTTTAGTTTAATTCTGTGTCGTGTCGTGTCGTGTCGTGTCGTGTCGGGGGTGACCCAGGCGTCCGCCCTTCCTCTCCCTCCAAGGAGCATGGAGGCATTTCGGTGTGTCTAGGGGGGGGGGGCTGATGGAAAAGGACAAGCATGGCAATCCCTATTAGTGAGTTGGTAATAGCGGATGAGAATCTGGAAAGCCTGGCTGCAGAAAAAGAGAGAGAGAGAGAGAGAGAGAGAGAGAGAGTGAGTAAGCCGCAGCCGCAGCTGCAGCCGGTAAGCCCCATAGACTCCGTCAGTGGCAGTGTCAGTCAGCTACTAAGCACTTGGCCACGAAGAGTTACGCGCCTATTATTTTTCGGCGCCCCCCATCCATGCTAATCACATGTATTTTCGGCGGCGTTGAACGGTGTGTACGATGCTCACGATAAGGCGGGCCAAGGGCGGCAGAGACAGTCAGGTAGGCGTGTCTTGTTTTGGTTCGTTCATTGCAACCCACAATGGGGTTTCTTTCCATTAAGCATTAGACTAAGTAGTAATATCGAGGGGCCACATGCCGCCTCTTCGCCTCCATCTCTCTCTCCTTTGGGGGGGTTTGGTGAGCAGGGCGCGCGCGAGGGTAATTAAAAAAAAAAGGAAGGGCGCATTATTCATCCCAGCGAACCCTCTGACACGTCGGGATCCATGCGTTGATTCAACCATGCGTTCCAGGCGTTTCCTTATGCCTTGAGCCCGCCCGCCCCAAAATCGTCGTCATCAAAACAAAAACCCCCTGACGCAGCAGCCATGCTAGCCGCTGTCAAAAAAAAATGTAAAACCGAAGAGTGGCGGCTGGGCGCTGAAGCGAATGTGTATACAACGGAACTTTTTTCTTGGTTAAAAAAAAGTTACCAATAAAAGCGATCGACTTGGGTATCAAAAAAGGGTACAATAAACCACGCTCTTGGCGTTAGAAGGAATCCACTAGAAATAAACAGTGGTCCTGGTAGGGAGATGCACGTCATTACTCTACGCTGTAGAGACACCAGTAATTCTATGCCGTAAGGCCCGTGTTGAAAATCAAGGGGCGCTGAAATGCTCCGCAAACAAAAACTCCGGTCCAATGCATAGGTCGTAAAGGCCGTCACCTAGGAGGGGGTGTAAGGTGATGTGCGAGTTTAGAGATGAGTATAAGTATAAGGCGGAAGGTGTAGGTGGTGGTGGTGATTCTAGTCTTTGCGGAGAGTGTGCTCGGTGTCGGATCCGACCGTGTCACAGTCCCAGAGACTCTGGTTGTCGTCGGTTGGCGAGCGGGAACCAATCGGGCTTCGGCCACCGGTGGAGTAGGATGACGAGGAACCACTGGCCCAGTCGTCCGAGTCGGAATGAGATGGGAATTCCTCGTAGATGTCGAGCATGCTGTAGCCAGCGCCGTCCATTGGGTCGCCAATCTCGACATAGTCGTAGTCCCATCGGAACTCCTTGTCGAACTGAGTACGGGGCAGGAAGTTGGCGCGGCCAAAGAAGTAGCAGATACCGGCGACTGAATACGTGTTAGCGAGCATGCAGGCAGAAGCGGGGACAGACAAAGACTTACGGAGACTGCCTGCAACCAGGTCAACAGCGTAGTGGTGGGAAAAGTACATGGTTGACCACCACAGCCACATGGTGTAGCAGACGTAGACGGGGAACAGCTTGGGGAAGACGTGTCCCATAAACAGTGTCTCCAGAGTGGCCCATCCAGAGTGCAAAGAGGGGAAGGCACCAAAGACCATGGGCGAGGCGAGGAAGGTGGATGTGTAGATGTCAATGCCGGTAAGCTTGTCGATGGCCTTGAGACCTGCGGCATCTCCGGGAATGCTGTAGTTGGCGGGGGCCAATCCGTACGAGTTTTCGTACCATGGCGGGGAGCAGGGGAAGATGATCTGAATCAGGACGGCAGTGATGTTCATGTAGCCAAAGGCGCGAGCCCAGATGGGAAGGGTTCCTGGAGGGCCCCAGATGAACATGCATGCGCTAACAATGACGGGCGATACGTAGTGGACGACGCCGTATGGCAGCCAGGCAAGGATATCGAGGACGGTGTGCTTGTGGGCCGACAGGACGTTGCTTAGGTTGGCACCGTAAAGGATGTTCTCCAGCGCGGGCAGGACGCGAACCCAGATGGCAGGTCGGTAGTCTGCGGAAATGTATCTGTGGAAGCGGATTAGCATGTGAATGCATAACGGGCCGAAAGCCAAAGCGGGTAGGGATGGACATACTTGCAGCTGGAGAAGAGGAATAGCCATGTAAGAGTAGGAAGCAATGGAAGCAAGAATTGGCGTGTGATGGGCAAGCACAAGCCCGTCATGAGCAGCGTCGCAATAAACGTCTTTGCAAACGGACCAGGGGCCTCGCTGACCGACAGGGAGAAGATGGCAACAATGGCGAGGAAGAGATACTGGGCGTCGTATATGGACCATGAATGGGTGCGCAGAGAGCGCAGCGTGTCCGAGGGCGACCATGACGTTTCGAGCGAGGCGATGGATGACGTGGGCGACTGGCGGCCGCGTATGCGCGACTTGGTGGCCCTCCACTTCCGGCGGACGCGGTGGGGGATGAGATTAGGCAGGGCAGCGAGGCCCGGGACGGTGGAGCGCGAGAGCATGTCGGAGGCGGCGGTGTTGTCGAGAAAGGCAAGATAGCTCTTGTTGGTCATGGTGGAGGCTTAGTCGGGGTTGGTCGCGTGGGAGAGAGATTGGCCCGTGGCGCGGCGGGTGGGATCTGGAGCAAGAGAGAGGGAGAGATGGAGAGATGGAGAGATGGAGAGAGAAAGAAGCGGCGACGGGCAAGACGCGGCCACGAGCTGCTTGCGGCGAAGAGAAGGAGGGTAGTCTGGGGGGAGGGTGTTTGGGGAGCAAGAAGCGGTGGTCGAGCCTTTTTCCTTTTTTTTCTTGTGCTTGTCGAGGGGACGACCAGCAGCTTTTGGTGGGCGAGCGAACAAAAGGCAGGGCAAGCGGAAGAGGGCGGACTAAGGATTATGAAAGGCAGGCGTAGGGGAAGGTCCGGATGGCTGAGGCGTGCAGCGCGCCGGGGTGTCAAATTAGGTCCGCGTCGTGAGCGGCTACGACGGAGGGGGCTAGGTGGAGGGTGCGCCCAATTTCGTTTCCAGCCCTGGTGCGCGCAGTGGTCGGCCCTGGCTGCCAAGGATGCGCATCAATGGCTGCGATGGGGTACGGACTAAAAGCTGGCGATGATGATGATGATGATGATGATGATGATGATGGTGGTGGTGGTGATGATGATGATGATGGATGGCGATGCCCCGCCGCCGCCGCCGTGGTGGATGTGGGTGGAAGGGCGAGGATGAGGGTCAGAGAGAGAGAGAGAGAGGGAGAAGGAGTGGGAGAGAGAGCCAGAGCACGCCTCGTGTGGACCCCTGGATAGGCGGTGCAGGCAGCCGTGGATGCTCCCACTCCCACTGCTACGCCTACTACACCGAGTATGTACATGTAGGTATCCATACATGGGTGTTGTGTGCATCCATGTGCATGTCCACCCACACCCATAGCCACGATGGGCGGGCTGAGGCGACGATGCCCATGCCCTTGCAGCCGCCGCCCGGCCATGACAACATGATGCTTGCAGTGGGAGGAAGAGGGCGGAAAGCAATGCGCTGGTTGCTGCGTTAGCTCATCATGACATCAACACACCGCCCAGAGCCGCCCAAGGCTGCATCGCTGCATTGCAGTGGCAGTGGCAGTGGCCGTGGTGGTAGTGGTACATGCATGGATACATGGTAGAGGCCATGGATACGCCGTGCCTACACATACTTACGTACCCATCTGCTCTGTATGCTGCTACAGCCTCCGCCATGAACATACGTACTCGCCGGGGCAGCTCTCGTGGATGCATGGCGCTGAAACTTGCTGACTCTTGACCGCATGCTGAACTCGGCCTCTTGGACGCCTACTTACCAATCACTCCCCCACCACACCTTCACCCACACAGCAAAAGGCGTCGGCTGACTGTATTTCGTCCGCCTCGTTGCTCGCCTCATGGCCTGATTAAGCGCCCTCTCGGGTTGCCGTAAAGTCCCGGCCCGGTGGTGGACCGCCAACCATCCGATCCGCGCCCAGTTTCTCTCTCGCTCTGTCTCGACCTGCGTCTCTCTCCCGCTATCTCGCCCTCTCCCGCTCACGGCGCTCCACCACACGTGCCCAAGCTACACTAATCCGCAAACTAAAAAAACCCATGACCTGCAAAAATCTCCTCCAGCCTCGCCTCGGCGGCGTGCAATTTCCTTTTGGCCTGCGCGCATCCCTGCAGCAGCGTCGATTCGCTTTTCGCCCGTGGAAACCGGACCATCGGACCAAGCTGAAGCTAGCCTCTGTTGCCCGATGCCGACTCTCCATGCTCCCCAACTAGGCTAGCCGCTCTTGCACACTTCCCACTCCTACTACCACTACTATGCACACCTTACTCCACACGGCACCACGCAGAGCAAGAAAAAAAATCAATGAAACGCGAAAACAAAACCCATGCCCTGCCTCGCTCGACTGCCGAGCCTGAAAATCCCGCACACAGACGCCCTGACGTCTCGACCGCAACTCCAGCGATCATCACAATCTCCTCGTCATTCCCCTTCCTACAGCGTTTCACTCACACCACAGTATCACACACACACTCACTCACTCACACCTTGTCCATTGTCCGCATTGAGTCGTGACACGGGCACACGCGCACCCCCCAAGCCATGCCCATGTGCCAGCCAACACACAACATAGATAGCATGCCATGCCATTTGACTCGAGATTGCCATCATCACAAGCACAACCTCTCTGCCTGCATGCATGCATACATGTGCGCGCACCCACCCCAACAGAATAAACGTGCAAAACACCCGCTCGCGCCTTGTTACCGTTGACCTGTCACCTCCCCCAAGGGCCCCCCCTCCCCTTCCACAACATACACACCAACTAGTGTTTCACACACCCAACCCAGCCAGGAACGGGCGGAGGGGCCCACACAGCGGCACGATACGCAAGAAAACGAGAACGAACAAAAAGAAAACAAAAACAATCAACACTCGTAATCAAACGTCGTGTAACCACAACAAGAAGACATTTCCCCGGGGATATTGCTAGTAGTTGTAGTGTGTGTGTGTACCATCTCATCTCGTATACAATAGCTCCAGGCCCGAGTGCCGAATTGCATCCCCGAGCTCCAGAACCCCCCCGTTCTTGTCTCACTCACACACATCCACGTCTTACTCTCTCACTCTACCCAACTTAACTTGATAGTCCGAGAGCACAAAACGAGCACTGACTGGCAAGACGGGGGCGGGCTGATGATGATAATGATGATGATCGTGATACAAAACAATAACTCGGGTGCGCGCGCCACCCCTTCCTTTACTATTATCCCCCCCCCCTCACTAGGTGTATTTCCAAGCTTGTGTCTGTGCCTTGTTGGGGGCGAGGGTAGGGGGGGGACTGTCAGACTGGGAGGGGAAGGGGGGGTGATGTGGCGAGAGAGACGAGGCGAGGCGAGGCGCATGCAAGGGACGTATGCATGTACTACGTGAGAGAGAAAGGGAGGGATGCGCTGCGCCGTGATGTGATGTGAAGGGAAGGGAAGGGAAGGGGGGGATGTGAGATGTGAGAGGATTACCCCGACTCCCGCGCTCGCAGGCAGCGGCGTTTGGTTCTTGCAACGCTTGGACCTACTTGTGGTCTGGGAGCCTATTTCGCGGAACGGGGGGGGGGAGCGGCGGCGGAGAGGCAAAGCGAAGAGTGCGGTAGTGGTAGGGGTGGGTAAAGTACCGATTGACCGATATCGTAGCGAAGCTGCAAGCGTAGTTAGTCAGTCGGGGAGAGAGAGAGAGAGAGAGAGAGAGAGCAAGAGCGTGAGAGAAATAAGAAACAAGCGAATTTGAACGCAACACTACAACATTATTCCAACATATATACATAGTAGACATAGATGGGAGACAGAAACACAGCACCGTGGGAAATTAGAAATGAGAAAATAGGAAATGATATTCAGGTACCACGACTAGGTCTATTGGTACACTAGTAGCTCTTATGTTTTTTGGACCCCATGTGTCATGCACAGAAAAAAAAAGAGAGAGAGAGAGAGACCATGGAGTTGGCCGGCTTGGCTGAGATGAACTAATAACTTTTTTCTTTCCCCCTGGGAACCATACTAGTCATATAGTATGGTATCATGACAGCAAACAAAACAAAACAAAACTTTTCACTAGCTACAACACACACACACACACATGTATAGAAATAGACAGACAGACAGATGCATAGAGAAAAAAATACATAGAGAATGACTAGGCAGTATCAATCAAATCCTCCAGAAACTCGTCCAGCTCAATAATCGTAAACTGCTCTGCCCACTTGGCCCGGAACTGCCGCTTGCGGTAGCCACTGTTGATCTGCTGTCCCCAGCTGATCAATTCCACCTTCCACCCCCGCTTCAACGCTCGCTCCACATGCGCTAGGAACCCATCCGACATCTCCGCCACCGCCCCGTCGCCCGTCGCCAGCACCATGGTGCTCGCCTCTTCGGCATCCAGAATGCTCTGGCACATCTTCAGATGCAGAATCTCGTCCACACCCTGCTCAACCCATTTCGGAGCTGCCCGTGTCTTTGCAACACCCGGCGCGCTCGTTTCAGAGTCGCTGCCGCTGCCGCTGCCACTGCCATTGCCGCTTCGCATCTGCTGAGCCTTGTGCCACCCCATCTTCTTGACGTCGTTGAAGAATTTCTTCTTCTCCGAATCTTCCCGCACAATCAGCACCTGCTCTTGCATCACGCTGTCGTACCCCACCGCCTTGGACGTCTCCACCATCTTCTCAATGTGCCGGAGCGGGTTGGCTTCGCGGTGTGACCCGGCAAAGAACCGCTTGGCAACAGGCCGACGCCGCTCCATCACGAGCGCGAGGCTGTCAAACGAAATGTCATACGCGTTGTGCTGAAGCCCATGGTACCGCAGCATGTCCTTGAGACCAATCATAATGTTCGACGCGTCCACAAACACATGCAGCCCGTGGTTGCGCGACCGCTCATTCAAGAGCTGCATCGGCGCCACCAGCCACTTTTGGTCTTCGGGAAACGTCGTCATCAGCTTGTTGAACAGATGGACATGACGCTCCGTCTTCGAGCGAATCACAAGAGGTGCGCGTCGTCCGCTAAACGAAACAGCGCGTGGGGCTGGCGTTGGCGTAGTCGGCGGCGGCTGCACAATAGCAGCGTTTTGCGAGGCTGCCCTGGGTACTGTCACTGGTCGAACAGTTCGTGGGACAAGCCCGTGGCGTAGAGGCGTAGCAGCAAGCGACGGTTGCTGTACTTGGGCAGAAACGTTTTGACTCGGTACTGAAGTGCCGAACGTTTCGCGTTGCACATGACTAGGCGCTGGCGCTGTAGAAGCAACAATGGCCGATGCTTTTTGTGGTGGCTGTACCGTGGATAGTTGTTTGAGTGTGCTGGGGCGAGGCTGAGGCGTCTTTGGCTGCTTTTGTTGAGTGTGCACATCTTCAGCTGCCTTTCGTGCAGGCGTTGCAGGCCTGATTTTCGCCCCAACGTTCGATCGTGAGCTTGTTCGCGAGGGCCTACACAGCGTTTCAGCCGCATCGGCGTCCTCGATTGATTTGCTGTCAAGTTCGACTGCTTGCTTTTGCGGAGAGGCATGCTGCACTGGATGCGCTCTCTGATCGCGCTCTTCGGCAAGCTGATCGAGAGTCTCTTGCATGATCCGCTTGCGGTTTTGCTCTTCCAGTAGCTCCTTCTCAGCGCGTCTGCGAGCCTTCTTGCGCTGAGTCTTTGTCAACGCCGGCGTCTCTGAGAGAAGCTCGGCTGTAGCCCCGACATGTTTGGCCAATGTCTGCACTGGCCTCAACGTGGGGGACGGTAGGGTAGCTTCGTCAGAATTGCTTAGCTCAGAGTCCGGGTCGAGCGGCGGTAGTGGTGCCGCAGGGGTATCCGGCAAGCCTAAGCTCTCGAAAAGCTTCGAGAAACTACCCAAGCGTACTCCTCCATCTCGACTTGCTGGTGTAAAGGTTTGTGTTGCAGGTCGAAGCGCTGGAGAGCGGATGTCGCTGGAACCGGAGTCGATGAGGTCAATAACCGAGCTAAAGTCCCAGCCGGTATCAATTGGTTGTGAAGGCATCGAGGATGATTCTCTTGTAAAGCTGAAATGCAAGCGTTGCTTGGTGTGCTCGTTCTGGGGAAAGGGAATGTGCTAATGTGTAGCGGAAACTAAGGGGGGTGTTAGTTGAGTGATCAATCTTTGATAAGTTGGTGCTAGATGCCTGGCGCTTCACAGATATAGTTCATCCAAGTTATATATATTGGGCGCGTAGATGGTGGATCCTGAGGCGTAGCAGATACCAAACATACCGTGTGACTGATCTCGAAACAGTGACCGTAATCGCACGCTCATGATCGACCGTGGCGATTTGTAGGTGAAAAGATGTTGCCAGGCTCAAGCAGTAGCCGTAGAGGCAAGATTGCGAGAGAAATTGCGTGTAGTGAAGGAGTAGTGAGGGCTGCAAAAGCGGGAAGATAAGTGAATGGGGTTTGGGTGGCGGTGGGGTGAAGGTCATCGGGAGTGTCTCAGCCTCATGGTCCGAGCGCGAGCCAGACATGGATGATTCGCTTGCGTCGATATGCCAACGCCACCCAGAATGACACATCATGCATGTTGGAGATCGCGCGTGCTCTGGACTCAATCCAGCCATGTATTCATCTCTTTCTGACTTGTTTTGTCCCATCCTCTTGACGGAAAAATAACTCAATGCATGCGCGAAATGTCCAGCAGCGTTCCGCGCATTGTTGATTGACTCTCGGTGCTGCTCATCGTCATCTGACCTTACTAGAAGGAGTAACGGGAAATTGCTAGCAGAAGAATATATGCTGCACTGACTAGGCACCGGACGAGCATTGCTGATGGATTGACTCGAAATCAGCTCGCAGGCACTGCAATGGCATTGGAAAAGAAATACATAAGCTGGCTGGAAGAGCAGTTTGCCACTCCATGCATGCACGTTTGAACCTTGTTTGGTAGCTTATCCTTTGTCCACCACCACTAGGTGCAGCGACAGCTCTCACGCCGTCAGACACCAGAGCAGATCTCTCGACTCGAGCAAGACAAAACGCCTGGTTCTCCTCTCAGTGCAAACTTGTGGAGACTCCAGTTTCAGCACAGGCAATTATCTGACGTGAGCTCAATCACCTCGTGACAATAAGGCCGCAGACCAAACGCGAGCAACGTTGATTGAAAATACAGTGGAGTTGAAACTTAAACTCAAAAATGGAATTCGTGTAAGCGTTCAGTTGATGACCTGCAGATAGACGATATCTTCTAGCAGAGAAGTCTCAATTCACTATATGTGCAACAAGATAGCAACACAAATACCTCGATAAAAACGCAAAATGGTACACAACCCCAGCAAACACTCCACCACCCTGTGTGGTTTCAAAGCCAGACCCAGTCTCTGCCCATGTCAGATGTAACCCACACGAGCCTCGGCTGTTCCCAACTTCTACATGTACGAACGCGTGTGCCCCACACAAGCCGCATATATCCCCTAACCTAACCGGCCAGCCGGCCGCTGCATGTGTTGCCCCTCGCCCAGCCCAAAGCTTCTCCAACGATATCCAGGTAAAAAAAAATAGCATTACTTACTGTACCCCTCTTTTCGCTCTCCAAAAAAGAAAGACACGACTCCAAAAAAAAGGAACCCCCAAAAAAAGAGAAATAAACAACAATGTCTGCAGACTTCTGGGCTGGCTACATGTCGGGCGCAGCAGGCATTATCATCGGGAACCCGCTGGACCTGATCAAAACGCGTCTTCAAGCCGGCAACAAGACGGCGCTGCAGAACGTAGTAGTAGTAGATGGTGTAGTTGCAGCGCATCAGCAACAGAGTGTGCAGAGCTTCAGAGCGCATTTTGAAAATGCCGGGACGCTTGTACGAGGTGAGATATACTTAATAATACCTCTGTTGCAACACCACCACCACCACCACCATATAACTTCCCACACATATTCATATCCATTATCGTAATTTCCAAAACTAACAAGACAAATCACAGTAAAGGCTCCACAGCACCGATCCTAACCTACGGCGCCCTCAACGCCCTACTCTTCGTAACCTACAACCGCACCCTCTCGCTGCTCGCCGACTCGCCCACGTCGCCAGCCAACCTCTCCAAGGTATTTGTCGCGGGCGCCACCGGCGGCCTCGCGAGCTTCGTCGTCAGCGCACCCACCGAGCTGATCAAGTGCCGGGCGCAGGTCGCCACGAGTCGGCACACGACGTCGTGGAGCGTTGCGCGCGACGTGTGGAGGGCTGAAGGCGTCCGCGGCTTGTACTATGGCGGTGCGATTACTAGTGTGAGAGATGCGGTGGGGTATGGATTCTAGTGAGTAGTCTTTTTTTTTCTTCTTCTTCTTGTCTTTTCTTGCGTTTTGGTCTTTTTTTTAAACTTCACGTGCATGTCATGTCATGTCATGTCAAATCTCTTTCTTATTTTTTTTTCATCAAAATAGAATTGTTGAAGCAAGGAAGAGGCGGGGGGAAAAGAGAGACAGAATTACAATGGACACGGACACACGGAATCCAATTCCGAAATGCATGCATGCATGTAGGAAAGAGAGACTTCGAGACTGACGTGAGAAAATAGCTTTTGGTCGTATGAACTCTCCAAGCAGGCCTGGAGCTCGCCCGATGACTCGCATCAACAGACAGCCATGAAGGTGCTCATGTGTGGGGGTCTGGCCGGCGTGATTACCTGGGCATCCATCTTCCCCTTGGATGTGGTCAAGACGAGGCTGCAGACGCAGATACTGCATGACCCGGCCAAACAAGGCGAGCAAAGTGGGCTCCTGCAGCCAGAGACGCCCAAGACGCGAATGGGCTCGGTGGAAATTGCCAGACACGCATATCGGACAGAGGGCGCGGGCGTCTTCTTCCGTGGCCTGGGCATATGCAGTGTGCGTGCCTTCATTGTCAATGCCGTCCAATGGGCCATGTACGAGTGGATGATGAAGCTGCTGCAATAGACAAAGATCCCCACTCACCATAGACTATATCGAAAGAGAAAAAAAAAAGCTACACTCAAAGAGCATTGAAGCAAAAGGCTTGTGCATGAGCCCATGAAATCTCATTCGACCTGGTAGCTACATCTCGACAGCTAGCTTTTTTTTTCTCGTGTAGACAAGGAAATTTTTGTTCCCCTACAGTGCTTCCCGTTACCAAAAACTGATTCTCAGGATAATCTCTCCAAATCCCATTCTTATGGAGAGGTGTAAATGTGACAGGAAAGAAGAAATCACCTCGTCTGAAGGCGCTTAGACACAGCAAATAGGAAATGCATCGACATGGACACGGCGGACAACAAAAGTCGCAATTACATGATCTGATCCTGCGTCAGGCCACTGGCGTGCTCGGTGCCTTCCATGACATCGCCGTTGCCCACGTTGGTGTACTTGACATAGGCAAGGCCCAGAGGCCTGCCGCCGTACTGGTAGCCAGTGAATTTAGCTGTAGACGTTAGTGGATTGAAATACAGCAAAACTTGGGAAGACCATACCGATAGATGTCTCTGCATCTGTAGCCTTCTCGAACTCAACCACACCGGTTCCGCGAGAGCGACCGTTGGGCTCGTACTGGATCTCGGCGCGTTCGACCTTTCCAATCGTGGTGAAGAGCTCCACGAGATCCTCGTTGCTAGTCGACCAAGGCAGGTTGCGGACGTAGATGATGTTGCTGGGCTCTCCACCGGCAGTTGCATAGTCTGTAAATGGGTTCGGGGCAGGCGGGGCGGCATTGGGGTCAAAAGCAGGGCCACCAGCACCGCCGCCGTATCCGCCATTGAAGCCGCCGCGACCTCCAAAGCCTCCATAGCCACCACGGCCACCAAATCCGCCGCGGCCACCAAACCCACCACGAGCGCCGAAGCCTCCGTAGCCACCGCGTCCACCGAATCCACCAGGAGCACCGGCGAAGCGATCCTCACGAACCTCAAGGTTGCGGCCCTGCCAATCATAACCGTTGAATTGGGTGATGGCGTTTCGGGCGTCCTCGGGCGTTTCAAACGCGACAATACCCGAGCCCTTTGGGCGGCCGTCAGGTGCAATGTGCACGTCAGCGCGTAGCACTTGACCGTTGTTGGCAGCCTGACGGAAGAGGTCCTTCAGGTCCTGCCAGCCGACGTTGTAGGGAAGCTAGACGTGTGAGTCAGCACATGGCCCCCCCTCATCAAAGACAAGGCGCGAAAGGGAAGGGAAAAAAAGGAAACGGGGTTACAAACGTTGGCGACGTAGACCTGTCGTCCTGCACCGGCGCCCCCAGCCGCGGCGTGACCGCCGTAGCTACCATAGCCGCCACGACCCATTCCGCCGCCAAAATCACCGCGACCACCGGGGGCGCTGAATCGAGGCTCGGCCTCTCGATCTTCGCGAACGTATACGAGTCGGCCCATGAGGTTCTGGTTGCTGAGCGTTGCAACGGCGTTCTGCGCCTGCTCCCGAGTTGCATATTCCACGATGCCACAGCCCTACACCCAAGCAAAAGCCAGTCAACCTCCATCCTTCTCACGATCAAGACAAGCCATCATCCATTACCTTTGACATTCCGTTCGGCAGCAGCAAGACATCTGCGAAGAGGACCTCTCCAGCTATTTCGACATTAGCCCATCTCTTGACGCGGCGCGACGCACGTGGGCGTACCTTGGCGCATGAAGTCCTTGAGGTGATGCCACTTGACATCGTAGGAAAGATTGCCGACGTAGACGCGGCGGTCCTGCTGCGAAGAATCCCTAATGTTCTGCATCATCTCGCCCTTGTTTTCAGTGGGCCGCGACGAGCCTCCTCTGCCGGCACCGTACGACTGGTAGCTTGCCGCGCCTTGGGCACCGCTGTTGGGCGAGCGCGAGCGACGTTCGGTGCGGCGGTAGTCGTCCCTGCTGCGAGAACGGCTGCGAGGCGAGTAGGAGCGGCGCGAACGACGCGGCGAGCGAGAACGGCGACGGGGAGAGCGGTCGCGCTGGTCATAGTTGTCAGTTTCGTACGACATGATTGCAGCAGGCAGGCAGGCAATGCGTCGATGCGAGGCAGACGGGGCGGAGTGTGGGCGATGCGAGCGGTGGTTGCAGGCCTCGCGGGATTGATGGGGTTGGGGGAGAGAGGATGCGCGAGCGGGCGGACGTGAGCAGCGCTCCCGGAGCTTGGGCAACGACGAAACGCTCGGACGGTAGTTGCCGCCCGTCACGTGACGCGACCGCACACGACGCCGCGACCGACGCAGCCTGGAGGCGACGACGGCCGCTGCCGGGCGCATTCAGACAGACGCGAGCCACCGCCAGCAGCAGCAGCAGTACCGGCGGCGTAGGGTGGCTGCCCAGGTCCCGGTCCCGTCCTCGCCCTCGCCTTCGCCCTCGCCCTCGCCCTCGTCCTCGAGCTACCGGCAGGCCAGGGCGGGTGGCAGCATAGCATGGTTTGGCGGCCGGCCAGTGGCCAGCCAGGGAAAAGAGGAGGAGGAGGCTGTACTCACTCGGTCACTGGGACGGTACGTGTCTCCTGCAGAGTCTGGCAGGCAAGAGTCAGCAGGCCCGGGCAGGCAGTCTGGAGGAATGTGAAGAAGAGCAGAAGCGTGCTTGTGGACGGCGACGGCGACGGCAATGGCACTGGCACTGGCACTGGCGCTGGCGCGGAGGGTGCTGGGCGGACGGCGGCTTTAGGAGGGGGAGTCGAGGGGCACTTACCCATGCTGTGTATTAGAAGTAGGTGCCGGTGACACTTGCTTAAGGCCGGGCTCCCTGCCAGCTGAGACGGCCTGTAGGGACCCAGTCGTGGTGCAGATATCACGCTGCAGAGAAATTGCCCTTCTTCCGCCCACGCCTCAGCGATGACGCCTTATGCGCCCGCGACAGTGCAGGCCTCCCCACGGCACACCCGGCCCCAGCCAATCGCCGCCCGCTGCCCGCTGCTGAAAGCCTAAACCGCGCGCCCCTCCCCCCTCAGGCCTGCCCGCCGTCCGTCAGTGAGCGTCCAGTGCCGCCCGTCGACCGCCGCCCGTCGAGCCCGCCCGCCGCCGCCGCCTGTCCGCGCGCCGGGAGCGGCCGTGGGTGAGTAGTTTTTTTTTTTTTTTTGCAGATGCGTGTGCTGCGCCGGCTTCGGGCAGACGGCGAGTGCGTCCGAGAGGGAGAGCAGAGCGAGAGGCACCGTGATGGGTGAACTGGATGATATCGGGTGGGGCGTCTTCGGTTGCTCGGTCCAGTGTGTGCTCGCGCCTCCCCCCACCATTACGGTAGTCCGTGCGCGATGCGGGAACGGTCCTTAGTGTTAGCTTCCTTCTGCCTAACCGTGCCAGCGCCAGCACCCAGCCATGCATTCCTCCATACACACATCCACACATCCACACACACACACACACACACATACGACTACAAAGGCCCCCTCGCAGCCCCCTCTGCATTCTGCACGCACGCCCAGAACAGCAACTGCCGACCCGCCGTCGCGCACGCCCCGGCCAGCTATCACTATCGTGGACAGCCGCATCGTCACGTCTCCAGCACCCCTCCACCTCCCCTCCCACGCATCCGGCCTCCGCCTCGACACCACCCACGCCTGCCCAGGCCCCGTCACACCCGAGCCTGTCCTGTAGCTGTATGGCCGGCTCGCCCAGAAGCGCCCCTCCACCTCTAGCCCGCCTGCTTAGCCTGCCCCGGGAACCGGCTCCTCGACCAACCGTGTGCTTTGCTGTCGCTATTTCCGGATGCCAGTCCTTCCAAGAAAAACCCGCGCGTGCCTGCTTCCGGCTCTCCCGACAGGCTTGCACGTGTAGGGAAGGATCCGGCGCAGGGTCACGTGCACGTGGAAAAGCATGTTGCCGTCGTCTAAACCTTCTCTGCCAACCCCATTCTTGTCCGCTATGCTAGCCATGCCCACTCGGTCCGAAGCCCAACCTTGAATGCGCTTCACGCACGCAGACCGATGCGGCGCTGCCTCATGCGACATGGCGATATCGACTCGAGCAACTGGCGCTAGCAGTGATGCTAGCCTTCAAGTCAACTAGCCTAATCATGTTTGTCTCACCATGTCCACTGACATGGCGGGATCAAAAGTCGCGTCTAGTAAACCGCCTCTTCCGCCCGAGTCTACGACGATGCAAGGTAAGACGGACTGGAATGTTTTCAGGTAGGTGTTGACTTGGCCGTGTCGATCCTTAGCACCCTGCTTTCATCCGACTAGTGGAGAACGTATTGGACTTGAACAGCAATGCTGTGCGAACCTCTGCTTTTCTGGAAACTGCACGTCCCGAACCAAGTGGGCGCACAAGAAAATATACGTTGAGTGCGACATTTCAAGTTCAACAATGGCTACTATTCGTCCAGCTTGTTGAGTAACCGATTACAAAGGATTATTTATTCCAGAGCATGCTAGCGCCTGACAATGCGCCTGATAGGAAGAGCCACTCCATGACTCGACGACAGACAATTCTATAAGATTTATTCATCTCGTCAAAACTCAAAGTCGCCAGCACTTGAAGTGGTGATGCTGGCGTCAGATTTGGCCGTATGCGTAAAGGGTAGGGCCCTGCCGCCTTGAAAGCCGAGGTTCCCCACAGTAAGTCGACTAATCATCCGCCTTCACGCCTCGACCGTTACTCATCGACTACAACGAGAATTAAACATATATCTGTCCAGTCTGATTTTTCGCACGTGAACTGACGCACCCCTGACCCTCTGCTTACCTCCAACACAAGATGCCCACCAAATCACCCTATCCAGATGTGGAAATACCGAATGTCGACCTCTGGGGGTTCATGTTTGACAGGAAAGACCGCGATTTCTCAGACGACAAGGTCATCTACCGCGCAGTCAATTCCGACCGAAAGTACACCTTTGCCGACGTAAAGAGCCATGCGACACTGTTCGGAGAAGGGCTTCGAAATCTGTGGGACTGGCAAAAGAATGATGTTTTGGCTCTCCATGTCCCCAATGACATTGACATCCCGCCTGTTATATACGGCACCTTTTTCGCAGGTGGAATCGTCACGCCTGCAAACCCCGCCTACTCTGCAGAAGAACTGGCCTACCAACTGAAGAATTCCGAGGCCAAGGCGCTCGTTACGACCAAGGCGTTTATGAAGACAGCACTGGAAGCTGCACGCAAAGTCGGCCTGGCAAGCGACCGCGTCATCTTGCTGGGCGCGGAAAGAGACGAAACCCATCAGTGCAAGCACTGGAGCAGCATCCGGAAAACATCAGGCGCCTTGCGGTACCGCCGCCGGAAAGCCGACCCCGAAGACCTCGCCTTCCTCGCCTACAGTTCCGGCACGACAGGGCTACCCAAAGGCGTGATGCTGAGCCACCGCAACATTGTCGCCGACTTGCTCGCCATCCTAGGCGGAGTCGGCCACTGGTACACGTCTGCAGACGACAAGATCCTGGGCGTACTCCCCTTCTTCCACATATACGGACTCACGGGCCTCGTGCACCAGACACTGCATCGCGGCATCGAGGTGGTTGTGATGCCCGCGTTTGACCTGAAAGTCTTCCTCGAAGCCATCCAAACACACTGCATCACGTACATCTATGTTGCGCCGCCAGTGGTGGTACGGCTATCGCGGGACAAACTAGTCGATGAGTACGACGTGTCGTCGGTGAAGATGATTACGTGTGGTGCCGCGCCGCTGTCGAAAGAGCTCGTGGAAGCTGTGTACAAGAGACTGGGACTCAAGATCAACCAGGCATATGGACTCAGTGAAACAAGTCCCGTGACGCATATTCAGGTACGTCTAGTAGTACGAATTTACACACACACACACACAAGACCAACACTACTAACACGCGGGTCCCTGTCCCAGCCATGGGACGAATGGCACTCGTCCATGGGCAGCGTAGGCAAGCTACTCCCCAACCTGCACGCCAAATACATGTCTGCATCCGGCACAGAGCTGGGTCCCGGTGAAGCGGGCGAACTGTGGCTGCGCGGCCCCAACGTCTTCAAGGGATACTGGAGAAACGCGGCCGCGACAGCCGACTCGCTGACGCCCGACGGCTACTTCAAAACGGGCGATGTGGGCTTCGCCGATGCCCACCACAACTTCTACATTACGGACCGCGTCAAAGAACTCATCAAGTACAAGGGGTTCCAGGTGGCGCCCGCCGAGCTCGAGGGCAAGCTGCTCGAGAGCGACCTCGTCGATGACGTTGCTGTGATTGGGGTCCACGACGACGACATGCACACCGAGGTGCCCAGGGCGTACCTAGTTGCCGCCGAGGGCATACGCGGTCGTGCTGGCGAGGCCGAGGCTACGCAGATTGTACGCTGGCTCGATGCCAAGGTGGCGAGTCACAAGCGGTTGAGGGGCGGTGTCGTGTTTGTGGATGCGGTGCCCAAGAGTGCGAGTGGCAAGATTCTGAGGCGCGTGCTCAAGGAGACAAAGTAAGGTTAGGTAGGTAGGTAGGTAGGTAGGTAGGTAGGTAGGTAGGTAGGTAGGTAGGTAGGTAGGTAGGTAGGTAGGTAGGTAGGTAGGTAGGTAAGGTAGAGTACAAGGTAGAAAGATGTATGTATATATTTGTATATATACATGGCTGGGTGGTATCTATCAAGACTTTTGATATTCACAGATCAATTGAAGACTGCATGTGGTGATGATGTGAATGAAGTAAGGTCTATTTGGTGAATTGTTCATTGCCATGTGTGTGATTGGATTTAGAAAAGGAATTGCTTTGAAATACTTGCTTGATTTGGATTCTTTTTTTTTGGAGTCGCTGTTCTACTCTAAACACAATCAAACAACCACACATTACTACATGGATGGATAGTCTTGATACTCCCACCAAGCAAACAACCATGGCACATTCCCTACCTCCAACACGACTCTCTCACAGCTTCGCCCTCGCCTGCACACCCAACGCCACATCCGTCTTACTGCCCTTACCTTACCTTAGCTCCTTACCAATTGGCGTGAAAATGCACCACTGCACCACCATCATCCCCCCTTCAGCAGCACTCACACCAAAGCTTGCCACGCCACCCTACATTTGGAGAGAAAAACACACACACCCCCTCCTACTACATAGAAACTGCGCCATCATACTGTAATCATACTGTAATCATATCTGTCGTATTTGAGATTGAGAAGAACCCAAAAAAAGCAAAAACACAGACACACCCGCAAACCACACACGTCAATATGCCCCAACTGGCCCCGAGACATAATCTTGTGTCCAAACTCCGGCGATATAATGGATGGATGGGAGGAGATTTGACATGTCAAGAAGAAGAAAAAAAAGAAAAGAAAAGAAATGGATGTGGGAAAAAATGACTCCACTCCAATTGACATTTCAGGAAGAAGAAGAAGAAGAAGAAGAAGAAGAAGAAGAAGAAGAAGAAGAAGAAGAAGGTAAGAAAAAAAACAGAAGGAAACAAAAGGAAACCGCCAAACACCGCGCACCATGTTACCTAGTAATGCCTGTCTGCCCCGCTTGCAAGTGTATAAATGTGTATATATCTGTGTGTGTGTGGGGGTAGTTTGAGGCCGAAGCCCAGAGAGACTTTTTTTTTCATGTATGCCCAAGAAGAACAAAGGGAGAAGAAATAAGCAGATAAAATGTAAGAGCATATACCCCTCCTGATGCAAGTCGCCGAAAACGCTGAATTTTTTTTCCAACCGTTGGCCCGAGATGAGGGGATCGCTAAATTTTCCGTGTGTCGTAGATGAGTCGCCTGCATAAGAAGAGTATGAGGGAGTAGCTTTTCAGCAAGACCCTCAAGGTTGGTTCATCAGATCGCTCAGGCATTATTTCCCCAAGCCCCCGTCTCTTTTCCGAGAGCTGACGAGCCAGCAGTACGATGGCCACCGACAGGCGCGAGGTTAGGGCTAGCCTTGCCACCACCGCTGCCCCATGATAGACCGCTCAAGCGCTTGTTGCTCGTACTCGAAGTGGTCGAGGCACCGTCTCTGCTCTTATTGAGGTCCTCCTCTTCTTCCATGCTAAAAAGGCCCTGCTCTTCCTCAATTCTCTCGCGATTGATGCTGCTGCTGCTAACCGCACGATCCACACCAAGACGCCCACTCGAGCCCCCAATGCTGTTGGTAGACGCCACGCGGTTAATGCCGGGGTGCATCGGATTGCTCGTGATGTTCGCTTCGTCGCGAGTGGATAGGCGAGTTCTCTGTAGTTGCTGACTGATCATGCTCATGGATGCTTGGCGAGGAGGGGAAGATAGGTAGGGACTCGCATCTCCGGTCGTAGGACGGCTGATGGCGCGCAGCGAGGGGCTTGCACCAGGATGGAGGCTTGAATTACGCAGCGGGGAGCCAACATGGCCAAAGGCTGACTGTCCAGGCAATGAGCCCGTCTCGAATCCGGTGTCGTACGTCGGTCCGCGGGGCTTGGCCCACATGGACTGAAAGCGCGAGGGAGAGGCGGTGGCTGCCGAGGGCGACCCGTACTTGAGGTCTGATGTGGTTGGTGAGACGCCAAGCCGCGATAGCGAGGCGCGTTGTGGGAAAGAGCTCTCGTTCTCGCCCTGGTCGCGAGAAAAGCGTCGCATCTTCTCCTGCGGGGTTAGCAGGTCACTGAGCGAGTTGGGCAGCAGATCCTCCTCGAATTTGCCAATCATGTCGGTTTCGTCCCAGTCCTCGTCTTTGAAGGCGGGCCGGGCGCCCAGGCTCGACGACATGATGCCCCGAGAGCGGCTTGCGGCGAGCTCAGAATGGAGCACTCTTCTTCCCGCGGGCTGCTCCACCGATTCGGGGGGAGAAGAGCCCAGCCCCGCAATTCCCCTTCGCGAGCCATCACCGAATGCAGAGTCGTGCAGATTTCGAAGCGCGGGCGAGTCGGCGTGGTACGAGGACGGGGGCGAATTTGCGAGGAATTTGGCTGGTACAGATGAGGCAATGGGGCCGTATCGGGCCATGGTCGAGACGCCCTGGCTGTCAAACGAGGCGGGCAGGCCCACGTCCATGACGCTGAGACCCTTTTGCGTGGGCGAGATGGGGAGCCGGCTATTGTCGTTTGGCGGCGAGCCATAGTTGGAGCCGGGGTGCGAGGAGAAGGTGGTGTCGATGGTGGGGATCATGTCGTACTGGTTCTTCTGGGCGACATAGTCGTCCTGGATGGCGTAGGGGTAGCCGGGCTGCATGCCGCCCATGTGTGCCTGCATGGTGAGCAGCGAGCTGTTCATGGGCAGCTCCTGGTGGTGGGGAATGTTCATGCGGCTAAAGTGGCCACCGGCGTTTCCGCGGTTGACGACATGGCCGTTGGGGAGGATGTGGGCGAGGGCGCACTTTTGGCCAAACTTGCAGTTTCCCTGTGGGCAGCGCGGTCAGCCATGTAGCGGGCGAGCTGGGGCGGCGCACGTGTTACCTTTGTGAAGTACTTGCAGGGCGCGCGCTCCGTCAGCGGCTCGTCCGAGTGCAGGAAGGGACAGGCCTTGCCAGCCTGACATGCGCCCTGGCGGTAGAATTTGCAGGGCACGTGTGAAGTGTCTGGCAGCGTCAGTACAGAGGAGCGAGCGAGGGCAGCGGCGGGGGCAGCGGGGGCAGCCTACTCTTGTTGTTTGGGGGGCTGCGCGGGCCGGCGAAGCCCATGTCGCGCAGGTTTGCTCGGTGGTCGTGGCCGTTGATGCGCCCGCCTGGGACGGCCATGGGCGCGTGGGCGTTTGCGCCAGCCATTGCGGCGGAGGACAGGTGGTGGCCGAGGACGAGGGCGCGCGAGGACGGGCGGGCGTGGGGCTGGGCGGACGGCGAGGGCGAGGGCGAGGACGAGGGCGTCGGGGCGTGGGGCTGTGGTGAGGGTGAAGGTGAGGGCGATGGGTTGAGCTGGTGGGCAAAGGGTCCGTGTTGGACTTGGAGCGGCCGTGGTGGGGGCTCGTGGTGGGGTTTGGCGGCGATGGCGGCGATGGCGGCGACGGCGTCGAGGGCAAGATTGGCGGGCGCAAACGCAAACGCAGCCATTGCTCGGACCGCAGTCGGCCGTCAAGCTGCTGAGGCGCCTCGAGACGCCAGAGACCAAGCAGACAGGCCCAGACAGCGCGCCCTCGGTGCTGCTCCTCCTGCTAGCACCATGCACATGTAATCCCCAGCCCGCCCGTAGCACGAGGGCCGCCTGCGAGCTGCTCAGCACGCGCTAGGCCGCACCCGGGCTAGCGCCGTCGCTTGTGGCGGGCGACTAGACGTTGGGGCCTGGCAGCTCCACGACCACGACCCGACGACCACCACGACCACGACCCCGACAGCGACAGCGACAGCCCGCGACAGCGACACGGCCACGGCGAGCCAGATACAGTGGCGGCCACGCACAAGAAAAAGAAAAAGACGGCGGCGCGAGCCAAGTGCAGCAGAATGGCTCGACGGTGATACGCCCGCCTGCACTATATCGCCCGCTGCCCCCGCGTGATACACCAGAGACGGCCTCGGCCGCGTGACGCCACAGCCGGACCCCGGTACGGTAAGTGAATGTCCCGCTTCGGTCGTCTGCCGCCTCACATGGACACTCGATGCTGCACCGCTGCACTGCTGAAACGCCGTCTGCTCCATATCCACTCGCACAGCGCCGCTCTAGCCGTCTCCAGGAGTCATGGGCCCCTGACGTCACCGTCATCTGCACAACCACGGCTGCACACGTGCCCGCCTGCCACTAGTGTCCATGTTGCTACTACATACATGGGCCTGCTAAGATGCTCCCTCCCACCACTCCGCCCTCTCTCCCTAGCTGTGCCCAATGCGCAGAATCCCCGCCGAGCACGTGTTGTTGTACCACTCCATCTGCAAATCGTCCATCATGTGCACCTGTGGAATATTCAAATTGTACGTATACGCCTTGAACTGGATGCCCGACAGCGCCCGGAACCCCTCGTCGAACACGACCTGCGTGAGCCGACACCCCACATAGCCAAAACACGCTGGAATTGTCACCTTCTGCTCCGCCACAACCACTTCCTGCCCGACCACATTGTCCCAGCGGAACCCCGAGATGCGCAGTGTGCACGGCGTGAGGCCGTTGAGCGCACACCCAAAGTAGCCAGAGTACGCGTTGAACCAGTATGCGTTGACGGGGGCACGTGGTCCAGCCCCCAGCTCCCCAGGCAGCATCGTCCCTGCAAACGGCGTGTTGGGAAGCAGTCGCCCGCCCAGCGGCATGAACATGGCTACGTTGGGCTGCGAAATCGCCGGGTATGGCTCCCACTTGTCGGGCACATACGTGTATCCATTGGCGTAGAAGAGGTGGTGGTAGGGATTATTCATGCCGCTGGCCACGAGCAGCCCGGTACTCTGTTCGTCCACCACCGTGTCGTCGAAGCCAATCGTAAAGTTGCCAGACTCGCCGCACGACGAAGGCCCAGGTAGGTCTGGCTGCGCGACTGTGCTTGGCGCCTGTGTTGCCGTCCCCAAGGATGGGCTAGGCACATTTACCGTAATTGGAATACCTTGGCGTTTCACCAGAGCCGCTGTCGCCGTCTTTTTGTCTCCAGATACCGACAGCACCGTTGTCTTGGTGCACCTTGATTGTGACGAAAAGCGCTCAAAAGAAGGTGGTTCCGAGAGCGGCGTCTGTCGCGCCGTGCGTGTAGTCAGCGGTAGAGTTGCAAGTTCAGATGGCAGTGGTCCGGTAACCGTGGGATACGTGCCAGTCCAGTACGACACCGTCGTTGAGATATTTGGCGACGGAAATACAAAGCTGACTTGAGTCTCTCCATACGATATCACCCGTGTAATTGCCCGCGCTGCAAACGACGGCGTTGCACCAAAGCTCGACGAGTTGCTTAGCAGCACTGTTGGAGTCACCGTAATAGTTGATGTCGACGTCGTAGTGCTTGTGCTTGAGTTGAGCATCACCGACGACGAAGACACATTGGCAATAGGAACAAGCGTCACGAAGCTCGTTGAAAAACTGCGACTTGGCGCGCTGCTCGGAAACATGCTTGACGAGCTTGAATACGTAGAACTAGAAGTCAGGTTCAGACTGAATGAAGTCAAAGACGGTGGGGCCGCCGGGCTAGAACGCAAGCTGCTTGCAGTGCTGGATGTAGATACTGATTGCGTAGACCCAGATGGTGGCGTCGTTGAAGAATTTGAGTCTGTGCTGGATACATTCGGACTGTTTGTTGTGAATGTGGTTAAAAGTGGTGATTCTGTACTAGGCGAAGACGATGGCGAAAGTAGAGGAGACTGTGGCTCACTGATAGAAGGAGATGTAGATACCGAGCTTAGAGGCTCGATAGGCACTGTTGCTGAACCGGTTGGTAGAGGCCTCGTCAGACTAGACGTCATTTGAGAAGATGCGACCTGGCTGCTCAGATTTATTGGCGAAGACACGAGTGGCGAAGACGCAAGTGACGAAGAAATACCCGACAGCTGCGATCCTGGCGCCGTACCCGTCGAGCCGCTGAGCTGCGTAGATACAACCAACGTCGGCGAGCTTCTTGAAAACGTGTCTATCAAGCCCGAAGACGACCCTCCGACTGATATCGATCCCGAAGAGCCAGAAGAGCCCGACGGGACCGAGACAAGCGGCGAAGTCACACCTAGACTTGGCTTTGAAACTGAAGAAGTGCCTGGACTTGCAGATGGACTTGGCGCTGATGCGCTTTGACTCGATAAAGAAGGGCCAACTGGCGAGCTTGTAGATAGGACAGACGGCGTAGTTACTGTTATTATGGTTGATGTTGTTGATGATGAAGATGACGATGGTGATGATGTTGCGGTTGAGCTTTCGCTTAAAATTATATTTGAGAAACTAGTAGTGGAGATACTCGGAGTAACTGGTGATGTAAAATCTGCAGCGGAGCTGATATTCGAACTCGATGAATAACTTGGCATGGATGACGGGCTGGTTGTACTTGTAGCCAGACTGGTGGCAAGACTGGATGTTGGAGTCAGGGCGCTCGAGGCTAGAGTCGAGACATTTGTTGAGACGGAAATTGGACTTCCGGTTATGGATGTGGGTGGGGTTATGCCGGGTGTAGTTGAGATTGAGTTGGGTATTGTGCTCTGGATAGCTGATGTGGTAGACTGGCTTGAACGAGAGAGGGCCGAGGGAGGTAGACTGCTGAGTGATGATGGCAGAATCGTCGTCGAAATGCTCGTTGAGATGCTCGTTGGCGTAGATATGGGAGGAGAGTTGCCCTCGTTACTTGAAAGGCCAGGGCCAGTAGATGTACTGGTAGCATCGACATTAGGATACGACGGATATGGTCTCTGTGGCTGATTCATCGGTCCAGGCGTACTTGGGCCCAGAGACGAGGTCGTGGCCGATACAGAGGACCTTGATACCGATACCGAAGAGATCACAGGAGTAATCACTGGAGTCTGCGTAACCAACGTGTTAAAGCGACTCGGCGGCGCCACACCATCAAGCCACTCCGTCGTCCCATTCACCACCGAAAAGAAGTACGTGCCATGCGCCGGATCCGTAGGTGAAGCGCCAATAAGCGACACCGTGATGATGGGCCCAGGGATCGTGACGTAGACTACACTGCAGTTACCTGCTTCAACGGATTGAGCCGCCGCCGCAGGCAGTGCTCTCTGCACAAACTCGAGTACGAGATAGCACCCGAAGATGAAGAGCGCGGCGAGACCCAGGCTGAGTAGCAGATCGACAAAGCGCCGCTGGTCGTTCCAGTTTACGCGCGTAAAGGCGATTGCGAAATGGTATAGCCACCGGAATAAGCGACACGGCCAGCATTGACTGACCCACTGCCTGAACTGGATTCTTGAGCGAGGTCGAGAAGGAGGGCTTGAATCGACTTTGCCATCTTGTGGAGGCCCCGTCGATGTGCTTGAAATGACTGAATCGCGCTTGATCTTCGGCATATCGGGTGACGATGCCTTTGGCTGCTCCAAAACAGCGTATGGGCTCGGCGTCGTGGTGGAAGTGCGCTCGGGCTCTTGCACATGCGGAGTCGATGGACTGGTACGATTTGGCTGTGTTTCCGCGTCCGTGGCGGATGATGTGGTAAGAGATTGTTGAGTAGTTGGATTCTGTTTGAATCCCCAGATGCGAGCTAGCATTCTCGAGGTGAAGCTGGATGGCATCTCTTCTGCTGGACTAGTAGAAGAATTCCTGGCTGGTATATGCGACTGAATGGCGTTCACTTGTGCCAAATTCGACGTGGACTGCTCGTTGGAGTCAACGTCGTCACTCTGCGAAGTCTTTGTGCGCCTGGCTTTAGCTTTGTTACGGGCCCTGTTCTTGCCCATGCTCAACGAGAGAAGATGCAGGCGTTAGTATAAAGCGTCGAAGATGCTGTTGCTATGTTGTTGGACAAAGATTCTAGGCTGCAGTCTATCCAAAAAGTGCTGTTGAGGTTGCGGAGCAATGGCGGCAAGAAACTGCCCTTTTGTGCCCAAACAGTAGGCAGGAGTGTGCTTGCCATGGCTGCAGTGGAAACAAGGTGAGCAGAGACTGCTTGACGCTACGCGTTTGCGGAAAGAAAGGAAAGTGAAAGGTGTTGGTGTTGACCGCCTCTCTTCGGGTGGTTGCAGTCGTCATATTGTGGCAATTTGGATCCGCGCTTGACAACCCCAAGGGAGCCCTTTTGATGCGCTGAAAGTGAGAACAAGACGTGTAAGAAATGAAGCAGGATGCACAATGGACAGGCTCGTGTCGCAATCTGGTCCCTGGATGGCCCAAATGGTATTCATCGCCAATTCAAAATTATGCCCGTATCTCCCACATCCTGATATGGCCGGCCTCGTTGGCAACTGCCAACTGTGCTAAACTACCCTCCTTCTCTTCATCTTCACTTGGCCTTCCCCACGCGACTGCCGTGATTCTCCCAAGCGGCGTCTTCTCTGTAGGCCAATTCTTGAAGACCGTGGCGGAAGGCAAGTGTACTAGCCTCATCGCATTGTTCTTCCAACGACTAGCCATGGCGAGGACTTGGCCATCTGGTGTGAATGCAAGGTGCGAGATCGGCGTCGTAAGATTTTGAAGATCCCGCAACGGTTTCGGTGCTTTGGGGATACCGCCGTTTGAATCCGCCTTTGCACCGTGAACGGACGGGTCGTTCTCGCTCCATGCCCGGCGATCGTATACGTTGACCACTCCGCTCGAGCTTCCAACAGCCACCCATCGATCGCCTCCTAACCAGTTTGCACGCCCGCTCTTGCCGCCAAGCGCAATGACAGTAGTACCCACTGCGCCCTCGTCGTTCCACCGTCCCACGACACCTTCTTCAACGCTCCATTCGGTGACTTCACCATTCTTGCCTGCAATGCACATACCAGTGCCGTCACTCCACCACGCAAAGTCAGCAATGCCGCCTCTCGACTCGATCCGCACCTGCGTTGCCCACTGGAGCGTTCGTGCGTCTAGGATGTTAATGACGCCACCACCCTTTCTGGACGAACCCCGAAGAGCCATGTATTTGCCGTTTGGTGACAGCGAAAAGAACTCCATTGTGCGTTGCTCGTGTTGGTGGCCGTACACACGCGACACCTTCTCGACCCGGCCTGTCGCAATGTCCCACACATGAAAGTAACGACGCCGTGCGCTCAGGAAGATGCGTGAATCTGACGCAGACGGATGGAATGCGGTCGTAACAAGGGGGGTACGCTTAATGTGTAGTGATGTCAGGAGAGGATTTGGGTTGGGCGGGTTTGGGTTGACATGATGAAGGTATAGAGTTGAACTGGGCCCTGAGGAGAGCAGTAGAGGGTATGCGGGATGGAACGACAGAGAGGTGATGGCAGACTGCAGTATGTGTTAACCAAGATCAGTCCATGTAACGGGCTCGAGTTACTTACCGGACCGGCTTTGGCGACATCCTTGAGACGCTGAATGTCGATGGTGCCGGCTTGTAGCTTTCTTCGCTTTGTACTGCTCCTTGAGGTACGCGAAAGGATATCGGCATCCTTCAACAGCTTCGCAAGTGGCTGTGTGGATACATCCTCATCGACATCCATGTCGCTCGCCGATTCGTCTCCGCTCTCATCGTCGTCCATGGTGCGTCGCCGCTTCTTGTTGGCCTTGCCTGTCGCATATGCTGCCCAGCTGGGTGTAGGATAGAGTCTCTCATACTGCTTCCGTAACCGCCGTACGTATTCTCTGCCGTTGACCAAATCGTCGTCTGCCGTTTCTCGCAGCTTTCTCAGCTGGGGCACCGATGCCAAACTGACCACCAGCCGTTCGTCATCGCTATCCTCCCAAGCAGGTTTATCATCCTCGTCGTCTGTTTCGTCTGCCTTGGCCGCGACCGTACCTGGCGGGGCTGCAGCTGGGCCCGCATCGAAGAAGAACAAGTCTTGGTCCGCCACATTATCGAGATCTGCCCCTTCCGCCCCCGATTCGTCTGAATTGTCGGCATATGTGCCGGTCGTGCGGTCCAAGGAGAAACTCTCTAGTCCTTGTCGGAAGCCCTCCGAGTCGCCGAAGATGATGCGCTCAAGCTCTTCTTCCTCAGCATCCTTTGGCAGTACGGGTTTTTGCTGCAGCTTAGAGTCTAGCTGGATATCGATGCTCTCTGCGTCGCTGTCGCCACCCTGAGCTCCGTTGTTTCCGTCCTCTTCTTCCGTGCCGAAGCCTTCGAAATCGTCCTCTTGCGCTTCGTTCATGAGCTGCAATGCGCCCGCCTCTGCATCGCTGTCGCCGGCCGCGAGGTCTGCCTGGTGTCTTGTCGCGCTATTTGCCTTTCCTGGCTTGTATCGCTGGTGTTCCCCCGCCTTGTGCGGAATTGTCGTTGCGGGTGCCATTGCGGTGGATTATGGATGCAAAGAGGTGCAGGCGGCTGGTCGCAAACCTGAAGTCGAGAAAATTGTTGCAGGGATCACCCGGACGCGCGACTGGGATTAGCGAGACGCCGCCGTCGACACCGCGCACCCAAGACTTCTGGAGAGAACGGAACATCGTCGCATCTCTGTAGAGACGTTGGATTCTGGAATGAAGCTACTCGTCTAATCCCGCGATAGAGTCAGTAAATCACCCAGCGGCTACGATACTACTTACGTATGTATGTACGTACGCCTTACCTGCGGAACAGCATACCCGCGAGAAGAAGGGCGGAATAACAAGGGCGCCAATCGTATCCAAAAATTCTCACCCTTCCTATCATTCTCTACTCCGTACTAGTGCTGGCTAGGATAGTTGATTCCGAATCCGTAAGGCAGCCAGCGTAATACGTACGCAGCGCGGGATGAATTAGGTGGTGGGAGTCATTTTGACCCACGAGGATGTAGTACAAATAAGGCAGCCGAGGCGTCTTCGAGCCAACTCTTGGAGACACCCCACACTTCTCCCCAGTGAACCAGCGCTGCAAAAACCCTCTACTTTACACTGTAACACTATCTGAGACACAAGATGCCAGACGCCAACCTCGAAATCTCTCTTCTCAAGCCCGAAGAAGCAGAGCAGTACATGCGCATACGACACCAAGTCTTCCGGCCCACCATCAACAAAATTCTCTATGCTCGCCGCGAGCCCTCTGAAAAGACGCTGAACCAAGTGGTCGAAGATATCCGCGACGGCATCCTCAACAAAGGCATCATCTACGTCAAATGCATCGACAAGACAACCGGCGAGATGATCGCTGGCGCCCGCTGGCGCTACGTCAAGCCCAAGCAGGAGGGTGCCAAAGAGCGCACCTGGGAAGAAGTCGACGCTGGGCTAACTATCCCAGAGCCTTTTGAGGAAAGTGAGCCGGAAATGTGGAACTCCCTTTTCAAGCTGTTTGCGGCCAATAAACGAGAGTTACTCGGTACAAGGCCGTACTACGTGCTGGATACTTTGGTCACGCTGGATCAGCATCAGAGAAGAGGAGCAGGTAGCATGTTGGTGCGTTGGGGTTGCGAGAAAGCTGATGAAGCGGGGGTCGAAGCGTTTCTTGAGGCGAGTCCCATGGGCGCACCAGTGTATGCTCGTCATGGGTTTGTGCCTGTTAAAGAGGTGGAACTGGACTTGAGGCGGTGGGGTGGGAAGGAGAAGCTGGATTTTATTGTGAGTTTTCCTGTGCCAGTTTTGGTTTTCTTGGGCTTTGTTTTGCTGATATATTCTACAGCTTATGATCAGGCCGGCCAAACAGGACTCATCGCCTTGAGTGACATCTTGGTCTTTTGCTATGCAGTGGAAAGAATGTATCATGACATCCAGAACACCACCATTTTGTCTGCTCGCTTGCTGGTCAAGTCCCAGGGAAGGAGTGTCAAATCATGTACATGGTCTTATAGCGATCAAGATATTCAACGCACAGGTTTCATAATGAACAGTCTATTATCTCGTTGGAACTCCTAGAGTACAGTTGATAGATTGATACCTCAACTTGATTACTACAGTATTAGACATCCTACAATAGTAAGACAAAGATCCGGACGCATGTCGCTCAAGACTACCTCTTCAAACATCCGTACAACGCCCCTTCCACTGCATGAATACCCTAACACCCGCTTCCCTCACATCGTCTGCAAATCCAGACGGCAAAATCGGCCAGTAGTCTTCCCGAAACACCAAGTGAACCTCTCTCAACCTCGGCAACAAATACTTCGCACAAAGTCCCTCTTGCACCCATATACACGTCTCAGTATCCGCCTGCGTAAGAGTGAGCTTCTCCAGTCCGTGCGGCAAGAAAGTAACCGCATGCCTCACGTTGTTATCCTTGTCGTAGTCTCGCGCGTACGGATTACAAATGATAGCGACCTTGGGAAGATGCAGCGACTTGAGCCTGCGAAAGCGGCGTAGAATGGGCATCGGCTTGAAAAGCCTGCCAGTCGACGAGTACCAGTTTGCCGGCAACGAGAGATGCAGCAATTGGGTTTCGACTGGCTGCAAGGTGGCAAGTAAGGACGTCCAGAAGGTGTTCCCGGGGAACACATTCGGAGAAGAATTGCACTCTAGATCCTGGGGGTCTTTGTCCATGCGGGACGCAGTAATTTTCCCGCCCCATCGGTCGTATTGCTGGGAGAAGTGTGGCTCTGTGCCTTTGGGAGGTTCGATCGCAAAGGCCCTGAGGTTGGGGACCATGCGTCCGAGGAAGATTTGTAGGCCGGCCATGGGGTGCATCCTTCGCATGGCAATGTCAAAGGGGATGAGCCTTACGAGATTAACGTTTAGTGTCACTGTCAGACTGCGGACGTTGGGGAGTATGGCAGTAGTCTCGGCCTAGTCCGTTCTGTCGGCGAAGAATAGTATGTCGGCGACCAGCGTAGTCAGCGAGGCTGTGGGGAATGTCTTGATGGGCGCATGGGAAGCAATATATATCGACGATATGGAGCTGTGGCGAAGCGCTATGTCCAGGCATGAATAGTTTGGTTGTTCGTGGAATGGACGGTCCCTGCCACGAGCATCTACACTAGAGAATAGACGCCTGAGCGACCAGGGCCACATTAGTTCGAGAGATTTGAGTCGTGGAAGCAGACTAATAACCACAGCGGTAATGTCGAGTTGTTGGTATTTGCGTAGTTCGTGCAACCAGAGACCGCGCTTGTCAAGCGTCATTGTGAGATTTTGTAGGTGTGCACAGGCAGCCTTGAATATGCTATAATAAGGATTTGTTTCGTATAGGTCTGGCTCGTCTGCTCTTGCAACTAGTCGCCGGTCTCCAATCCATACCTTGAGTGATACTGTGTGAGCGGCGAGATCTGGTCTCTCCATCAGTGTACGAGCCAGGTACGGTACGGAAGACACTGGATACTGGAACAGACCAAAAACTTTGGCAAGCGAAGGTTCCGGAAGACATATGTCTCGGTAGAGTATACGTTCGGCTACTGCGCGAAATCGCCGACAAACGAGTGCGAAATGTCGCAGCGCTGAAAGCTCACAGGCGAATCTCTTTTGCACGGCGCTCCGTCTGCGGCGATACGCTGTGCGGGGGGGCATGCCTTCGGCAAAGCTGATACCCATGCCCTCCATGACATGCAATGTCGTGTCAGGAACCAGGAAAGAGGCTATATGGTGCAGTATTTCGGTGGGCAGTTGTCGAATTGTTGGCCCCAAAGTTAAGGTACTAAAAGACGATGCCATCTGATGTCGTCAAGGTCAGGTTGTTGCTTTGCACTGTTAGCTGTTTGCATCAGAGATCTGAGAATGGCTAAAACACTCACTGATATAGGGTGAGGCCTCTTGAGTTCTAGGCGAGGTTGCGGAAGTGCGCATGTCATCGCAGTCTTAGGTATATACTCCACCATACAGGTTGTCGGCGACTGTTGTTTCTAGGGCTGAGAAGAGTTGCTCAAGGTATAAGTTGCGATGTCAGTTATAGTTAGAAGTTTGTGTCTGATTGCGCCTAGAGTAAAAGGCTCGGCTAAGACTTCGCAAACGCTCTTGGTACCTGACTGTGCTGTCACTGTCCAGGTGAAAGCTTAGTGGTGAATGGTACGATAATGGGAGCACGTCACTGGCTATACCAATACCCTACATTTGATGTCAGTGCTGTGTAACACTCCCCACGTAATGTACGAATGTGTGTAAATGAAGAGAATAATCATGGATGTGCGTTGTGTAAAGAGCTGACAATTGCATAATTTGATTACTACGAAAAGGCGCAATGTCAACGCACATAACGCCTCCAAATGCGAATATTGTTCTAAAACTTGGCTCTGACTCACCAAACATTACCCAACACTAGAGCGCCTGTCCTTTGTATGTAGAACCCTCTAAAAATATCCATAAGCGGCCAGCCGGAATTATATCGATATCTTTGCAGCCAGAGTAAGCAACCGATGAAATTAAAGCAACGATACTTCTTGTACATTGTGAAAGAGGATCCGCTTGACTGCAACCTCATACCCTCCTCTTCTTTGGCTGGAACATGCTGTATTCCTCCCTTTTCCTTTTGGGTGCTGGGGCTGTACCTGACTGGCCAGTCATTGGCCTTGGCTTAGGCGCGTTGAACTGTTGCCCCGTTGGTAGTGATGTTCGTGTTGGGGGCGGGTTGCGTTGTTGGGGTGCTGGTCGATGTGTGATGTTGGGGCGGCTTGTCGAGGCAGACGCAGCATTTGAGGATTCTGGCTTGTTGGCCATCGAGGTAGATGCTTGCTTGGACAAAACCATGGTTCGGGGGGCCTCGCTCTCAGCCATTCTAATCATGCGCGCTGGTGCTTGACGAATGGTACTCTTTCTCTGAGCTAGAATATGTGCTGGTATATGACTGGCCTTTGGACGCTCACGACCATGGTCGAACATGCCTCGCTTCAGCTTGTCGAAAGCGGCCTTGCCTGTTTTCGCCGGCGCGCCCGAAGGTTGGCCCCAGGGTGTGGTGGTCCTGCCAGTAAACATCCTGCTACCGCCCGAGCCATAGCCAATCCGGCTATCCACAATAAGCGTCTTGTTTTTTGCGCGGTCCTTCTGCAACGCCTGCATGTGCTGTTTCAGCGCCTCTTCGTCGGCCTGTTTCTCGCGCTCCGCATCCTTCTTAAGTTTGCGGTAGACTTTACTCCAATTGCGCGGATCGCGCGGTTCGTGTGGCTTCTTTTCCCAGTCGGGTATGTCTCGTCTTATGAAGCGCAGCCATATTTCACCCGTCTCTCCCTGTAGTTGTGGGCAGTTGTTCTCGAGCTCGAGGAGCTGGTCTGGGCTTTGTACGAATCGGAGAACGGGCTGGAGGAACGAATAGGGGAGATCGCCAACGTCTCGGAGCATATCGATATTTTTGATAAGCCGCTGACGGGCCAGTTCGAAGAGGCTGAGAGCCGGCATGGTTGATAGCGTGAAGGCGTCGCGGAGGGTATAGTCAAAGGCTCGTCGATTGTCCCGTGCGAAATGCGACGCGTAGAAGAGTCCAAAATCGGGGATGCAGTGCGTTATAGGTCTTTCGTTGATCGTCGAAGAATGCTAAAAAGGTGAAAAAGGCCACTTCTATTTGCAGACGACATGAACCATGGATAAGTAAAATGAGAGCAACGTAACGGGTGGATGGGGCAGAGTACCCCGCCACATTCACGGGAGCATATTAGTAATCGAAGCTTCAAGAACGGCGTTGTTTGCAGGCAGCAGCTGCCAAGAGGGTGACAAGAAGGACAGAGGAGAGCAAACCAAGTGCGGTGGAAGTGAAAGCGTCGAGGCCGAAGGTCTGACGTCTGACGAGGCACCCTGGCGCTAGTGCAGACCCCTGCCCAACGCCGCGATTGACCATCACACGGCGACATCGCGACTCTGGTGAACGCTGCAGCAGCCCGCCACCAGTGCCACCAGTGCCACCAACAGCCTCTGCACACCTCCGGCTCTACACCCAAACCATGGCGATCAAGGACTGGGGCCTGTTGTCGCAGGCGGACGAGGGTATGGCTGTGCATGCGCTGCTTCGAAGCTTCGGCTAACCCCAACAGATGCGCTCCACAACGTATCGCGACTTTTAGCAGTGGAGGCGCGCCCATATACAAACGCCGCCGGCCGCCTTCTCAAGCCCGGATTCTTCGAGGATGCGCGCCCGAAACAGCTGCCCTCTCCACCACCTGACGCTTCAGCTGCCGACGAGGAAGCAGCCGCGCTTGCAGCCGAGCGCGAACAGCAGGCGCACAAGATTGAGATATGGCGCAAGGACATTATGAACGAGCTCTCCCTGCTCGACTTTGCGATTCTACGCGCCGAGTTCACGACGAATAGCAATCACACGGAGCGCGAGCGCTACGCCGTGGACAAGACGGCCATTGAAGCAAAGCAGGACCATGTCCGCAAGACAATTGAGGATCTCCGCGTCCGCCTGGTCGAGGCCAAGGAAACACTTGCCGTGCGTAAGACGTACGACGAGTTGACCGAGAAAATCACCAGCTGCAAGATGCTGAAGCCGCGAGACGAGCAAGCACATGCACACGTAAAGCTAGACCAAGAGATACGGGAGCTTGAACACGAGGTACAATCGGCAAAGGACACATGGAGCGAGCGCCGCACGCAGTTTGGCCGTATTGAACAGGAGGCACGAGAGATGCTGCGCATGATTAAGGATGAGAAGGAAGAGGCTGAGCGCAAAGAAGGCATGATGAAGGATGGTGATGAAGATGGCGAGGGAGAGGGAAGCACGTCTAGGGGGGATGTTAGTCACGCCGGTACGCCGCGGCCAGACGGCAGTATGACGCCTGTACATGCCAGTCAGGGCGGAGAGGCGTCGTCGTCGCTACGAGTACCGCCCCAGGATCGGCTGAAGCCTCTCTCGCGAGACGCCAGTGCCGCACCCTCATCGGGCAAATCGGGTGTCGTAGAGGACACGGATATGGCCGATTTGAGGGCAAACTCGGGCGATGTCGATGACGGTGACTCTTCGGGATTGGAAGAGGGCGAAGACCTGGAAGATGGCGAGGATGACGGTGAAGACCACCCATCAATTCGGATGGACGAGTCGTGATCACATGGGAGAGTGTCTGCTCTGATGATTTGCTTGCATAGCGCGGTGTTTAGGGTATCAACATATCTTCATCTTTCGTAGAGGAGCTTGTAACAACTAGCTGCAAAAGGGTATCCGCAAGTTACGAAGCTTCCTGCAGGGCAGCCTTTCCCTGTGCGAGGGCGTCCTTTGCCTTTGTGACTTCGTCGGTTGAAGCCGCACCATCCGCCTCCTTGTTGTTCTCCTAGGGCTGATTAGTACAGTTCTTTTTTGCCATCAGCCAAGCATCCGGCTTACAAGCTCTTCTTCCAACTTCTCGAGGGCCTGCTCAATCTTGATCTTCATAGCCGGCAGCACGTTCTTGGTCTCCTGGAGTGCTTGGCGCTGCAGTAAATTTAATGTCTGTCATCTGTCAAGTGAGACTGATGCTGTCTACCTCTTGCTTGAGCGTGTACTCGCCATTATCGTCGCCTTTGTTCTCTTCAGCCTTCTTGACACGCGCTTCTTGCTGCTCGATCTCTTTGTGGTAGCTTGCTTCTTCTTTGACCAAGCGGAGCACAACGCCGGTTGCTATAGCGAGCTTGGAAGGAGGGGCCATGATGAATGTTTAGAAACTGGGTGTGAGACAGGCAGAATTGAGATTAATTTCACAAGAGATCCGGCTTTTGTATGCACAAGTATGCTGGCTATTGTTGTTGCCTGCTAGGAAATGTTCGTTTGACGGCGGGGCTAAACTGCCCCACTGACTTGGTCTGCAGGCATGTCCTGGGTGCATCAACGCCGAAACTACAGTGTCTTGACAGAAACATGGGAATTGAGACATGGCCTTCTTTCATGAATCTCCTTTCTGCCTCCAACATTCGCTCCCTTGGGTAGCTGGATAGACATTTGCAGTGCCAAGACCACTTAAGCGTCCCCTTGCGGACTAGACCAGAACGCGTCCCACGCGTCCACAGGAGCACGGCGCGATAAACCCTCCCTGGCAACCCCTCTAATACAACATCAACACATTCACTGCTGCTGCCGCATAGAGCGCCACCCCAATGTCGTCCCCACCGCAGCGCCGCTCTCAGCGCCCCTCGGCTTCGGCGACTCCGCGAAGAGGTGCCCGTGGCCAAAATTCTCAGATGCCCTCCAGTCCAGCACCAGCAGATCCAGATGAGCAACTCCAGTCCGAGGCTTCGCAGCGTGGATCTCTAGCAACCCCGAGGAATGCGAGGTTTCAGACAACTTCCACGCAGTCTCCTCTCTTCTTCCGCTCCTCGCCTGCAAATCCTTCGGGTTCAGGAGCTGCAAATGGCGCCGATGAGAGTGACGGCGGTGCGACTCCAAAGGCATCAGCCATGAATATGGGAGGTACGTAGAGCGAAAATTTGATCTAGGGGCATTGCTAACATACACAGACTCTTCGCCCATTCACTATGCCTCCAGCTCCAGCCCTGGCCGAGCCCGCAATGCGCAAAGCAATGTCCCGGGCAGTAGCAGCAGCGCCCTGTTCGTCCGTGGTTCCGAGTCTGCAGCCCGTAGTCGACGCAATGACGTTCATTCTGATGTCTTTGGAACTGGCGTTACCAATCGCCGCCGTACATTGTTCGTCGACGAGAATGGCATGCCGGTCCAGGAGGCCTCGGACGCTGCAACTTTCTCCAATATCAACCCGGATACTTCAGACGCCGACGTTCTGGGCGGGAGCTCTTCGCGAGTCATTTGGGGAACCAATGTGTCTCTTGTGGATGCCCGCCATGCGATGAGGGACTTTCTCATGAACTTCCAAAAGAAATATCGCATGATCCAGGACGGCGAGCTGGAGGAAGACATGAATATTCCGCCAAACCACCCTGGCAACACTCGCGAGTACGTTGATCTCATGAAGATGATGCTCGAGCTTGGTGTCACGCCGTTGAACTTGGACGCCCGCAACCTAAAGGCCTATCCGCCCACGAGGAAGCTTTGGCACCAATTGCAAGCGTATCCCAACGAAATCATCCCCATCATGGATGTTGCAATCAAGGACACCATGCTTGAACTCGCTGAGAAGCGAATGGCGGAGATGCGAACGCAGCTTTCCCAACAACAACGGGGCGGTCAGCCCAGAGCTCGGGACTCTAGCTCTTTGCCACCAATGATGAGCTCCGATGCACCTACTCCTGGTGCTCCGTCCCCTGCTCCGTTTGCCGACATCCCCAATTTGGTCAGCGAAGTAGATCAAAAGATCTACAACGTGAGGCCATTCGGGCTGGACAAGACGATCAACTTGCGCGAGCTTAATCCTGGAGACATGGATAAGCTTGTCAGTGTGAAGGGGCTAGTCATCAGGACTACACCAATCATTCCCGACATGAAGGATGGTATGTTAGCTCACAAAGACATATGGCTTCATGCTAACATTACTAGCCTTCTTCCGCTGCTCTGTCTGTAACCATACCGTCAGGGTGGACATTGACCGCGGTAAGATTACTGAGCCCACCAAATGTCCTCGCACGGTGTGTGAGTCGCCCAACTCGATGCAAATTGTGCACAACCGCTCTGGATTCGCAAACAAACAAGTCATCAAGCTGCAAGAGACCCCAGACGATATGCCGGATGGCCAGACACCGCATTCAGTTTCTCTTTGCGCATACGATGAACTTGTAGATGTCTGCAAAGCCGGTGACCGTGTAGAAATTACTGGTATTTTCAAATGCAACCAGGTCCGCATCAACCCACGACAGCGGTCGGTCAAGAACATCTTCAAGACCTACGTCGATGCTCTGCATATTCAAAAGGTCGATAAAAAGCGATTGGGCATTGATGTATCGACCATAGAGGAAGAGCTTGCTGAGCATGCGGCTGGTGATTTGGAAGAAACACGCAAGGTCACTGAAGAGGAGGAAGAGAAGATCAAGGCGACCGCCGCCCGTCCGGACATCTACGAGCTGTTGTCCCGGTCGCTTGCCCCTAGTATCTACGAGATGGATGACGTCAAGAAGGGTATCCTCCTTCAGCTGTTTGGTGGCACCAACAAGCAGTTTGAAAAGGGCGGTAGTCCAAAGTACCGAGGCGACATCAACGTCTTGCTCTGTGGTGATCCATCCACAGCCAAGTCCCAGATTTTACAATATGTTCACAGGATCGCACCGCGCGGCGTGTACACATCTGGAAAGGGCTCGTCCGCTGTCGGTTTGACTGCATACGTCACTCGTGACCCCGAGACTCGACAGCTGGTGCTTGAATCTGGAGCTCTCGTACTGTCTGACGGTGGCGTGTGCTGCATTGATGAGTTTGACAAGATGTCAGAAGCTACTCGGTCCGTCCTGCACGAAGTGATGGAGCAGCAGACTGTCTCTATTGCCAAAGCTGGTATCATCACCACGCTGAACGCCCGCACATCTATTCTGGCATCTGCCAACCCCATTGGCTCCAAGTACAACGTCAACCTCCCAGTGCCGCAAAACATCGATCTCCCACCGACGTTGCTGTCACGTTTCGATCTCGTTTATCTCGTCTTGGACCGCATTGACGAGCAGAACGACCGCCGCATGGCGCGGCACTTGGTCGGCATGTACCTTGAAGACACGCCCGAGAATGCCGCGAAGAACGAAGTCTTGCCAATCGAGTTCTTGACGGCTTATATCTCCTATGCACGCACCAACATTCACCCAAAGATCACTGAGCCTGCATCGAAAGCGCTCGTAGATGCATACGTCGCCATGCGCGCACTGGGTGCCGATGTCCGCTCGCACGAACGAAGAATCACAGCGACCACTCGTCAGCTCGAATCGATGATCCGTCTATCGGAAGCTCATGCAAAGATGCGTCTCTCCGAAGAGGTCACAGCCGATGACGTGCACGAAGCTGTCCGCCTCATCAAGTCGGCGCTCAAGCAGGCAGCTACGGATGCACGCACGGGACTGATTGATATGTCGCTCTTGACAGAGGGCACCTCAACCGGCGACCGGCGTAGAAAGGAGGACCTCAAGCGTGCAGTCATGGCTACGCTCGATGAGCTTGGTTCTGCTGGCCAGAGTGTGCGATTGAGCGACCTCATGAAGAAGGTTCGAGAGGGAGCCAGTGAACAGGTAGAAAACCAAGAGTTCCTTGAGGTGCTACGAACGGCGGAGCTAGAAGGAGCTGTGCAAATCACGGGCGAGGGTATGCGGAGGACAGTCAAGAAGGTTGTTGGTACTTTTTAGTCTGCCAACGTAGCACCGGCGTTCAGTGTCACTATTACAGGATTGGCATTCCCCACGACGTGATGATATGATGGCAAAGAGATGTGCGTAACCTAGCCTATGTTTCGTCGCTATTTACGGTTGAGTAGATGAACATGATATCCTTGTTTCCTCCAAGCCCCGAGTATAACGCTTCCACGACAGCATACAGGTGATGTTGAAGCGACACGAGCAAAGACTGATCCACTCAAACGAAGTTCTTCAGCTCGCCCAAACGCCACCAGGCTTTCCATTTTGCACATCTCTTCTGCTCAGCCAACGGGCCAGACTTTTGCACCTCGACCTCCCAATCAGCCGGTTCCTGTGCGTCGCCACCACTCAGCTCGATGCCCTTGCGAATGACACGAATGACAGCCTGTTGATCTGTAAGGTCCGGGTTCCATGGTACAGCATTCCTCTTCTTCCGCCAGATCATGGCTTCCAGGGCAATCGTGACGGACGGGGCCCAGCCATCCGCGCAACCCAGGACGCGCCAATACTTCCAAGCATCCTCGCTGATTTCCAAGTCATCATTAGCGGGATAGCGCGAAATCCAAGTCCAGACTGGACTCTGGCACTGGATCCCAAGGCCCTTTAGATGCGGTAGGAACTCGCGCACATGCATCATCTTGAGCTGTGCCGAGGCATACGCGGAGTCCGGGCCCGCCAGCGTGATGCGCTGGATATGCTTGATGTGGTGCGGGAAATGGAGTTGCACATGGCGGATCCAGTCGGAGAAGTCGTTGGGGTGCACCGAGAAGATGGAGCTGCGGAGGAAGAACTCGCGGGCTTCGTTGCGGATGGCCTTGTTGCTGGCTGCGAGGGCCCAGAAGCCTCGGGGCTCCGGCGGCGCGTCCAGTTTGTGCGTGCAGCGGTCTTCCTCCTTGCACATGCCCGACCACTTTGGGTTTGCGCACAGAAGAGGCGTCTTGGGATTCGGCTGCCGGCAGGGTGTCCAGGTGTATTTCACGGGGCCGACCGGCTTCTGGACACTGGGATCGTAGACATGTATTGGGCGGCCGTCGCTGGTTTGCTTGTGCACGTGGACGAGGGTTGAGTCGCATAGCACGTTGTAGATTTGGAGACGCAGCTCTGCAGGAAGGCCTTCAAAGGTCGCTTGAGGATTGCTTGGTGTCTTGAATGTTGCGGCAGGGTGCGCTTCGACTTGCTCATCACTGGGGGATTTCTTGGTCTTTCTCGGTCTGGGTACGGTTGCAGGACTCTGTGTGACGCCTTTGTCGGCGGCGCTGCTTTTACCATTATTTCCTCTGGTCGTAGGTCTCTTGCGAGTTCCGTTTCCAGTTGGAATAGAAGACATGTTGGTAGCTGATTGTGTAGCTGAGTCGATGTCTGATGCTTTGCGCTTTTTTCCCGCCATGTTGAATATGCGATTGCTACGAATGGTTGATGCGAGCCTGGGTTGATTTCAGCAAGAATTTACGTTGTAATGTTTCCATGTGTTTGTAGAGAGGAGTACCAGCTACGAGGCAGCAACCACGAGCTAGGCCGCTCTGGGAATCGGTCCCAGGCAGTGACGCCACACCGAATCCGTGACGACAGTGCGTGTACAATCTTGAGCATTCCAGGGTCTTTGATCTTGCAGACACTCTTGAACAACGGATAATCTCAGTCAGCACTCTTTACACTGGACATTCACCACACAAGGCGGGATCTTGCACTGAGTCAGTTACGGCGGAGGTCAGCCTCGGCGCGAATGGCCTAGTCCTACCGGCCATCGCAATCCCTGCTTTACAACGTCGGTATCAGCACACCTGCTCTCGCGCTGATACTCCACAATGCGCCACTGGCTGGCCGTAAACGCCGTGAAATAGTTGAAGCACATTGTTGTACCCTACAGATTCGCTTCAGTTGAAAAGCCGCGCCGATTAAATAGTAGCCCGCTGCGCAACTGAAATCACACTACCTGCATAACCAATCACACGTCACACGAGATGAAAACATCCAAGTACGCACCGAAAACGCCGGCTGAAAGCCTGGCACAGACAAAAGCCGAGAAGCTCAAGCAGGACAAGGACCGCGTTACACGACTATTGGGGCGTCTTCGGTGGAAGGCCGAGATGCTAATGGTGTCGTATATGCGAACCATGGAAATCGTACACGCAGCACAGCAGGATGGCTACAACGCGTCACAGCACGCAATGGACAGCGGCGCATCCAGTGTAGGAGGCCCTCATGCGCGTCACTACCGTTCGTGGCGTCAGACTAACGAGCGACAGAAACAAGCCGAGTCCATGTTCAAGGTGGATTTCTTTGAATTCTACACTCTGCTTGAACGCTACATTACCGACTGCCTTGCCATATTTGGCATCAGCGTCTCAGGCTCCATGCCGCGCCAGAACTTCAACGCCCTCCGCTACGAAACCAATCCGGATCTGCACCGTACGCGGCCCCTGGCTTCACACGCGTTCCACGCCAATCTTCTGGAAGCACTCGACGACGAAAAGTGTCCGCTCGCTGACTCCTTGGGACTGCAAGACGTCCGCGTGCAGCTGGGCATTGCAAAGGACTATCGTAATGCGTGGAAAGATGCGGATAGCAAGACCAAGATCGCAAATAGTGAACCCCACAAGAATATCCGTCTCGAAGACCTGCAATTGGAGTTCATGCTGCGCAACATCATTGGTGGATGCGACCTCGCTCATGAAATGGTACAATCATATACCCACGACGGGCCAAACGGACATACTCTGTCCAGCCGGGATTTCGTGCCAAAGACATATGGATACGGCAGCATGGATGTGGAAGACACGCCTTTTGAATACATGGACGACGCCATGGACCTGGATTGAAGAATACGGTGGTGCTATTTCCGAGCTATCTAGTAAAAAACGTATTGTAGATTGTGGTTGAATGTTTCTATGGTATCTATCTGCGCTTTGGTTATCTCAAACACCCATTTGCGTGCATGTAAGTTCCCACCCCCACCCTTTTTTTTTCTCTTCATCGTCGTTACTTCATTCCAGTCTTGTTAAAGCTACCTGCTCTCTACATATCTACTACATACATAGTTCGTCTGATGCATCACTTGACTTGCGTGTATCCCTTCTACTTACTCAATACAAACCACACATAACATCCCCCCCTCATCTACTCTTGCAACACACTATCCGCACGAATCCTATTGCCCTCGTGTTTCCCAGTCTGAGTAGTCCGTCGTTTCTCCTCCTCTCCAGCCTCCCACTTGCACCGCTCCGTGCACTCCCAGCACACGCTGCGCTCGCACACGCGCATATCGTACTTCCACTCGTGCCGCTTGAGCATCTCCTGGCAGTGCGCGCAGTCGAGCGGAATCACAATGGATTCGAGGCGGCCGCCGCGCCGCGCTACACTCAGCCCTTTGCTGGTGCGCGTGCGCATCCGCGGCTCGCCCTGTGCATCCGTCGTGATGCCGTCGAACACAACGAGCTTGTCGAATTTACACCACCATGCGGGCCGCTGACTGGCTTCTGTGCGCGCGCAAATGGACGTGCTGGTGAAGGCTTGGGCCTGGGCCTTGGGCCCCGGGAGCCAGCACCCGTTTTCTGGGGCTTGTGGCGGGGCAAAGACACGGGGTTTGGTCGTGTTGGTGGTGGTGGTGGTGGTGGTAGTGGTTGTTTTTGTGTCTAGCTGCGGCGCCCGCAGGTTCAGGCGGTCGTGCAGAAGCGCAGTTGGAGACCGCAGTGCGGCTTTGGATTGCGTCTTGGAGTTGCGGATTAGAGCGTGGCGCTGCTCGAGCTCGGAGCGCGGCGAGCAAGTGTTGGATACGGGGTGCGTGCCCAGATTGAGGTCTGCTGGGCGGCGGAGGCGCACGATGGAATCGTGGCGTTGGGGAGACGCGGCCTTGGTGGGACTGCCTGATGTGCATGGACTGGGTGGTGTTGTGGCGTCCACGGGAGTGAAGGATGTGGGCCGAGATGGAGATGCCAGAGTATTGATTTCGTGTGTGTAGACGGCAGAGCTGAGATTGCTGCATGGTGCTGAGATGGTGAGTGCAGTCGAGGTTTCTACGTCGCGCTTGGTGGCGATGATGCTAGTTGTTCGTCTGGGAGTCAAAGGAGCCGGATACAAAGACTCTGTATCCTCGACATCCCGTTCACCCGTCTCTTGCAGTGCAGCTAGATCCAAATGATCAACCAGCTCATCATCGCACTGTACATCTTCAGATCCCCTTTCTACCTCTCCACACGCCGTCTCAGCCGCCTTTTCCAGCGGCACACGCGGAGGCAGCGTCAGTGGCTCCAGAGAAGACTGATCGAAGACAAACACACCACAGTCCTTATTTCCCGGATCGAGATCAAGATTCTTGTGCACAATCTCAGTAGCCGTACCCAGTGCTTCTGTTGCAGCTGTTGCATTGGATCGAGTATTTTTCCCCGTCACCAGCTGTTCCTCACCCTTCTCAGCCCGGGAATTCTTCCAAAAGGCAAAGGCCGGCATGATGGCATCTACAGAACAAAAAAAAAGCGAGTGTGAGGTATGGGGTAAAACTAAAAACGAGGGACAGGGAAGAGCAAAACTTTCTTCAAGATGACCAGGGGAAAAGAAGAAGAAAAGTGACTTCAACAAAAGTGCCAGTGTAGCAAAGGCGACAAGGCATCAGAGATATAAGAAGGAGGGGGAAGCGAGGAGGGAAAGACTGATCTGTATTACCCCCATACCATACCATGCATCCATCCATCCATGCATGCATGTTGTACCGCCGCCGCTGCTGCTCAACAAGGGACCCGAATTTCCGAATCAACGTATCCTAAAAAAAAACCTTAATTTTATTTTTATTCTAAAAAAGAGGGGAAGAAAAAAAAAGTCGGGTACCGTTGAAACATTGCTGCATCAGAATCATCATCCCGTTTTACATAGTTCGTCTTTGCTTCTTTGCTTCTTTCTCTTTCCCCCCCCCTTCCTCTCCCTCTCGCTTCCCTCTTTCCGGCCCATCCCACCCGCTGTCTAACCCAGTTAGTCCAACACGGCCCCATTGTGATTCCAATTCTCCAATACCCCTAGTAACTTTGTTTCTATGTATGTATGTATGTATGTATGTATGTACCATGGGTTTACACAGCCCCCCCCCAATTTGCAATTTGCCTCCCCCCCCTCCTCTCTGCGTTTCCCTGTCTTGTCCATTTTTCATTCTATACGCCGTTCTTTTTTTCTCTCTCTTGCTCTTCGTGGCTCTTGGACGGAGTAATTACACAGACGGGGGAGGTTAGATTAAGGTTTCGTAGATATTGATGGGAGGGGGGGGTTTACATGGTTTGTATAATTTGGGGAGCGGAGTGGAGTGGAGTGGAGATGGAAAGGGGGGGGAAAGTGTAGGCTAGTTTACCTTCACTTACGAATATGGTTAGAGAGAGAGAGAGAGGAAGAGAAAGAGAGAGAGGAAGAGAAAGAGAGAGAGAGAGAGAGAGAGAGAGAGATGTGTAAGGCGATACCCAGTTTTTTTCTGCTTTCTTCTTTTTTTTTGATCATTGCATGGACAGCTTCCGGGCACATACATGGGAAGGAGTGGATGGGGGAGGGGAAGCAGTGAGGGGCATGTTGGCTAGACTAGTCTAACGTATGTATGGATGGATGGATGTGTGTATGTACGTGGTGCCTAGTGCATTCAGGCCGTGAGATCGGAAGACAGACACAGAGTACGGGCAACGTCTAGTGTACGTACGTAGGTGCACAGATAGCCCCGAAAACGTGAAACGAAACATCATAGTGACGGCGATATTGGGTGTGAAACAAAAAAGTCGTGGGTTGTGGTTGATGCCGTGAGTAAGCGTGTGTCAGGTGGGAAATGGGGCTTTGTTATGCAGGCAGTTTTGTCGGCCCAAATGGGGGCATGGGGAACGGCGTAATGAACTACGTAGGCATGACTGGGTGTCGTCATGTTTTGGTGGTGGCCCGCTCAATGCAAGAGTTCATGAGGGAGGGGTTGCGCTTGGATGAAAGGAGGGGGTGTTTATGCGGGAGAGATGAGGGGTTTGTGTTAGCGTGTGTGCGTGTGAGGATGTTGAGGAAGAGAGGGGGGGGTGGGGCGATACTGGGCGGGTTCAGGCGGATTGTGGGGATGAGATAATCGTTGTGGATTGATTGGGAGCGAGGGCAGCGACTTTCTATGTGAGGTGTAGTGGCATTGATTTGGTGAGGTCGATGGCGTTGCAGTGGAGACGCGGATGTCACGTGATGTGTGTAGCAAGATTGGGAAGTTTGATAGAGGATTGTGTGGATAGATGACGATGACAGTCAAAGTGTCATTGTTTCACCAGCTCGCACTTGTTGGATGATGATCATTCGGGCCTGGTGCCTGGTGCCTGGCGCTACTATAATTTGGGCGTGTACCTTTGAGCTGGTTGCCTTGATTGCTCACCTTGATAATTGCTTTGTCGCGGCTCAAATGGCCGATGTGCAGAAGCTTTGTTTGAACGGAAACCACTGAAACAGGCAGGCTCAGCACGCCCAATGGGCGAATTGAACAGCCAAGTGGAAGGTGATGTCACCTTGTTCGCGTCCGAGTGCTTGGTACGGGCATGCATGTGGATGCGATGAGCGTATGAAAAACAAACAATGACAACGCAACACGGACGGATCGTCATGGTCATCTGACGCTGGATATGGCAGACTATATTTCGATGCTAGTCGCGGCGTGTGAAGGTATGGATTCCCAGACAAAGATGCGTGGGATCAGCAAGGCAGGCGATGTTTTGGCCGTAGCGTAACGCACGTCTGGTGCTTTTTTTTGCCTGAAAAGCGAGGCGGATGTTGGATGCCGCATTCCTATCTCTCTGGTAGTCGGTGGCTGCATGTGGCTAGGCGTTTCGCGCACGAATGTCGGTTTTGGCATCGGAGGCTGCAAAACATGTGCGTCGGTGGTGCAGGCAGGGTGGGACTGTGTGCGGGATTTGCGGGCAGGTTGGAGGAGGGCCGTTTGCGTTAGAATGAGGGCGTTTTTGTTCGCCTGCGTCGCCAGTGTTCCGATATTGCCCAGACCAGTGGGGCAGCGAGCAAGACGGGCGTGGAGCTAGTACACGATGTTTGTTGTACAGGCAACTACTACACCGCTTCCATGGCGAGTATCAGATGGACGGGGCTGGCGAGAGACCATGGTTGGGGTGGCTGCACGAGGGCGAGAGCAGAGTTTGGTGCAAAGCTTGGGGGGTTTGTTTTTGGCCACGCTGCCACGGCCGCTGGCTGCTGTGGGCAGCGCCGGGACTGCAAGTGCAAGTGCAAGCTCGGGATGTGGCCAGCCGCGAGAAGGGCGCCGTCTGATGCGAGAGCGAGAGGGAGAATATGCGTGAGCGGATTGGAAATGTCGTGCGTGGGCAGAGGCATGGGCTGTGTGGCCGTGGGAGTGCGTGGGGTGGAGATGGCGAGCACGTGGAGGCGCCTCAGTCGTTGTATGCCAGCGCAGGCTTATGGGCACGCCGCGCACTGCAGAACCGCTAGCCCTGCCGCGTGCTCTCTCCCCTGCGCGGCAGTCGAACGGCCAAGGGGAAAGCCGCGGCGGAATTCCCTTCTTTTTTCCTCGCTTGCTGTGTTTATTTTTTGCCATTTTTTGGGGGCGCGGGCGAGGTGCGGTGGGCGAGCACGAGGGGGAGGGGGGGCGCCGCGTTGGGAGCCTCTCTCGCGCCCTCTCGCTGCGTGTGTGTCTTGCTGGGCATGGACAAGGCGAGGCGGGCTGGGCTCAGCTGACGGGGCGGGCGGGCTGTATGCGCTCTTTATCAAGGGCGGGCGAGGCAGAGGGGCGATGCGCTGGCAGGTTTCGGTTCGTGCCTGGATGGGGGTGGGCGTGGCTGAAGCAGCGCAGCCTCATGCATCCGCCGTTCCAGCTGTCGGCCACGCACTACTACTTACTACTACTAACTCACCATACTACCGCCCACGACTACCACGACGCACCCACCCACACCCACGCCCACGCCCGCTGACTGCCCGCCGCCCGCCGCCCTCCCCTGCTCGCGACGGCCAGCAAAGAAGCCCGCGTTGGCGGCGCCGTCCAACGACTGCGCGCCGCGTAACTCGTCATCGCTGCTGCATCGGGCCCGCGTGCGGTTTGACCGCCCATTGGAACCCGGGCCTCGCTGCTATCCACGCCCCCGTCTCCCCGTCCATCGCCAGCAGCGAGCGACGCGCCCGAGCCCACTCAGGATGCCACGGCCCTTTCTGCCATCATGACCGACCCTGACACCGACTCTCTGCTCACTGCCGACGACGACGGCGGCGGCTTCCACTCTTTCACCGGCGCCCACGAGAGTGCTGAGCCCGCACACACAAGCACCACGCCACCACCGGAGCCGCACCAGCAACACGCCCAGCACCAGCAACACCAGCAACACCACCACCACCGACACGAACACCCATCGGCCACGCCTGCAACCGGCCCCGGCACCCCCGCAAAACCCACCTCCAAGCCCTCTGCTGCCGCCACTACCACTCCCACCACCACCACCACTACTACTACCAACACCAACACCAACACCAACACCACCACCACTGCCTTTGGTACGACGACCGCCTCCTCCGCCTCCTCCTCCACCACCACCACCACCACGCCGCCCCCTTCGGCCACCGAGGGTGCCGCTTCCGCATCGTCGATGCGGCAGCACACGCTGGCGGGCCAGCGCCCGCTCCATGCCGCCGCCTCGCCCTCGCCGCCGCTGTCTTCGCGAGAAGCATCGCCTGCCCGCCCCCATCAACGCAATGTCTCCACGACGGCGAGGCCCACGGTCCGGCCAGGCTTCCGCTCACGCAAGAGCAGCACCGACGCCAGCCCCAGCCGCATGTCCAGCCTGGCCAACTCGACGACGCCCGGCCCGACGGCCGTGGTTGTCCAGCGTGCCCACTCGGCCACGAGCATACCGGAGATGACGCCAGCATCAACACCGTCGTCGTCCAACGACACGATCCGAGCACCGCGCCCCTCGAGGCCCGGCTCCAAGCCCGGCCCGGTCGACTCGACGCCGCTCTCGCCGCGCTTCAAGTCGCCGCCGCCCGCGGGCGACATATACTCGCACTCGCGCCGCAACTCGCTGCGGGCCCAGCTCCGAAAGCAAGAGGTGCAGTCGACGCCCGCCATCATCGTCGAGAGCTCGTCGCCCATGTCGCCGCCGCGGCTGGCCGCGCCCGAGGACGCGCTGGCGAGCGAGCCCGAGGAGCCGACGCAAACCATCAAGGCGCCTGGCCGCGGAGCCGGTGGGCTGCAACCCAAGCTGGAAACGGTGCAAGAGTCTAGCTCGCCTGCCACGCCCGGATTCCATGGTCTAGAGCCGCAAAGGTACGCTTTCCCCGCAACCGCCCCACTGTTTGTCATGGCGACGCACGTTAGACTATTCGCGGGCCCAATTTCCGCTCCCATCCGCAAACTTTGTTAACGCTTCCTTCTAGCTTTGTTCCTTCTGCCGTCGCCCCCAAGTTCGACCCGGAGCGAAATGACGTCAACTCGTCCAAAGTCACCGAAGACCTCAGTTCCAGACTCGACTCGTCCAAGCACGACTCTTCCAAGCACACGGAGAGCGGCAGCGACAGCGCCACCAAAGGCGCCAAGAAGGGCAAGATGCAGGAGCGCCGCTCCGCCTACGCCCAGCGACCCTACCACTCTGTCTCGGCAAAGCCTTCGCTGTCCTCCATGTCGACCCGCTCGCGCGATCCGCCGCTGCGCAACATGACGGTCGAGACCGAAACCGTCCCCTCGGTCGCACAGGCGTCCATTGTCAACCAGGACCGCGTCGCCTCGGGTCGTGCAGACGGCGGTGTGCGCCTCCGCCCCAGCAACGAAACCATACGTCCCAAAAAGGAGAAGAAACCCACAAAGCGAAAAGCCGCATCCATCAATGCAGGCACCGGTAGGTTGCAACACATCTCGTACCATCACCACACGGCCTCGGCCTCGGGCAGCCCTATTTCATACCGCTCGTGCGAAGAAGGGCGCTCGTTGCTGACCATGTCGCCCCCCAGCCCAGAGCTGCGCGTGTCTCTTCCTCCCCGCCCTCCCCATCTCAGCTATTTTTATTCCAGCACTAACAACAGCTACCGCACAGCTTCATCCAAGGCAGACGTCTTTGAGCAAAAGGTGGCCAGTGCCGTCGACGAGGCCGACTCGTCCGACTCGGATGCCACCTTCATCTATGAGTCGAACCCGCCCGAGCAGCCGCACCGCAGCCGCCAACACCACCACTCCCGAACCCCGAGCATGACATCACTAGCAAGCCTCACCGACCCACGACTCCAACTGCGCGATAACCAAAAGCATCCAAGCAAGAAGAGCAGCATCAAATTCACCAACCCCTACAGCAACCCGAGCATCGACGGAGACGACCGCGGCGAAGGCACTGTGCGGTTGGGATCCGGCCGGGCGGGCGGAGGCAGCCACCATCACCACATCGGCGGCAGATATGGCCAAGGCCGAGGTGCACTGAACCCCATGGTCATGGACAGTGACTCCTCCATGCCCCAGTCTTCGCGCACCCGTGGCCCGGCCTCGAGAAATGCATCGCAGCCAAACAGTCCTCGCTTCCACACGTTCAGTGTTGGCAACGGCCATACCAACGGTAACAAGAAGAGCAGTGAGTACTCGGCTGCCTACGATATTGACGCAGAGCATGCAGCCGATGACGAACGCACCCCACTCATCTCTGGCCGAAGCCCACGAGCTCGAACGCCCCGTCAAAGGAATAGCGCCACGGTACGCCAACTAGAACGTCGACACCGCCGCGATGGCGGGTGGTGCCGTCGCTTTGCTGGGTGCTTGGTTCTCTCGATACTGCTCTTGGTTGTTGTCTTTTGCGCGGTTGGGCTGGTCTTTGCCACTACCAAGCCGCTTACGAGCCTCATGGTGCGCGACATCCAGAACGTTGTGGCCAGTCAAGAGGAAGTCATCTTGGATCTCATCGTCGATGCCGTCAACCCCAACATCATTGGCGTTACGGTCGCCGACATGGACGTTTCTGTATTCGCCAAGAGTAAGCATGTCGGCTCCGACACGTGGTGGCGTGAGCACGGAAACGGACCGCCCGGAAACATGGAGAACTGGAAGCCCATCCAAGACGAAGCTTACCCCACCGACACCGCTCCTGTCAGCGCTAGAGGAATCGACGAAGGAACGGATCCCATCGAAGGCGAGCCTCGCACCATGTTGCTTGGCCGTGTGTACCGCTTCGACTCGCCCCTGACCTTTGAAGGCTCCTTCTTTCAGCGACATCGCGCCGAGTCGATTGGTGAGCTTCGTTTGGGGCATCCAGGAAACAAGACCGAAGCGGGTGGAAGCGAACGCTGGGAAGAAGTTTTGCAGTATCCTTTTGAACTCATTGTGAGGGGTAACTTCAAGTACACACTCCCCCTGAGCACCCAGGAGTTCAAGGTCCCCGTCACAGCATCCCATTACTACGATCCAGATATCGAAAAAAGGAAAAGGCCCACCGCCCTACCGAGGCACGAAAAGAGGAGGAATCTACCGTCTGTACCAACAAAGCCGTGGGGGCGCTATGACCGTAGAGCACTAGCGCTCTGGCATGTCCAATAGCACATTCTTCCATTCTGTATCACAACGTCCGGAAAAGCGAGGATCAGCACATTTGTGCAACACGAGCAAAAACACCCCCAAAAGAAAAAAAAACCGATACCCTTCTAAACACGAGATTACGACCTTATAGACTTGTCCTAGCCCGGCGACCGTTACATTGGCGGCCCCGTTGCCATATCTCGGCTCCACAGCCCTTATGAATTTCTTTCTCGTTTCTGCGTTGTATGCGCACGACATCACAGTTACCCCTTTGACAATGGCTGTACCCATTACCTAGACGGTCAAAGTTAATCCCGAGCGTACACCTCTGCACTCCACGGACTGTGCCTGTATTACGATAATTTGTTCTCGTATTCGGCAGTATGGACCTGGCCTCCGTCCTAATCAGTTTCCCAACTTTTCTTTGCCCCATTTGAACTTGACCTTTGGAGGTGGATCTCTGTCGATCCAAAGACATTCATTTCACCGTTCTCTGTCTTCTATGTATTTATATGCACTGAGCGTATACTTGATTTGACATGTTGTCTTCTTTTGATCTTTCTCAATGGCTGGCTAGGGAGCATGGAACCGGTATGGGTCAGGGACAGGAAAACATGCATTCCACAAGGAGTAGGGAATGCAAAAGACTCTAGTCTGTTCATTATATCATGACTGGTCCCTTGTATGTGATTGTTTTGTGGTACGGCTGACTTCAATGTACCTGATGTTGCCACCCATGTCGTCTTGATAGCTGTTGGACTTCTCCTTGTTGTTCCTATACTTTGCAGCACTAGAGTTACTGACATGACAGTTGGAATAATGAGTCGGTAAATGAAGTTTAGATAAGGGTATGTAAAAAGGCGTAAGTTCATGACCCAGCATTCCAACAAAATCCACTGTAAAAGAAATTAATAAAACGTCTCACACTTCTACGCAGTCTCCAAAACCAAGCTATCCCAAAGCCACCCCCTCCACCTCTCACTCTTGGTCACCCTGATATCCAGCGTATTCGCACTTCCCTGCACCAGCACCCCAGCGCCAACAGGAAACTCGAGCCGATGCCACTCGCCGGCCCTCGTCGCCCCGCGATACGTATCCTGGCTATTCGGCAAGGCCGCGCTCGAGATATCGCCGACACGCACTCCATTCAGCAGCACCGTCGCCGACGAGCCCTGCGAGAAGCCCGCGAGCGACAGCACCAGCGTTGCGGCTGCGCGCGTAGGCGACGCAAAAATAACACTCCACGTGCCCAGCTGCGACTGCGCAAAACACCAGTCCGAAGCCTCGTTTACAGAGACCGTGTACGTCAGGTTTGCGGGACACTTGTCGAGGCGCGCGTGCTGGATGGGGCTTGTGGGGTCTGCGAAGCGGAAGCCGTCTGTCTTGGGGTCGAAAGCGCCGATTTGGAAGATGCGGGTTGCGGTTGTGCTGGAGACGGAAACAGGCCATGTGAGGTGTGGAAGCGAGGTTGTGGTGGCGGCTTCAATGGCAATGTCGTTGTGTGTGAAAGTGGTGGTGAGCGGGGATAGGGATCCCGCGTTGCTCCAGGCGGAGAGGGCGTAGGAGCCTGTGCGGACGTGGGGGATGGAAAAGGCACCTTTTTCGTCGGCGTACGTGGTGTAGTAGTACTTCTGGCCTTGGTCGAGCGTCGAGACGGTGGTGTTGCGGTTGTCGCCGAGGAAGATGGCGGCGCCCGAGGCCGGGGGGCCGTCGCTGAGAAGCAGGCTGCCCGTGAGTGTGCCGCGGGCCTGGTACGCGGCGTCTTTGAACCATGCGTAGGGCCATGCGGCTTGCTCGGCGGTCCAGCGCGCGGCTGCATCGCTTTGGCTGCCGTCGTTGAGGTACCATAGCCAGGGGCCCCAGGTTTTTCCTACGCCAAACGCGTCGCGCGACGTGGCTTGGTAGTGAGTCCCGTGGACCATGTTGAGTTGGACTGTGTCGCCTGTTTGGGACTCGCGGTGGAGCTGCGTCAGTCACGTCAGTCGATACATTGGCTCTGAGATGGTGAGTACTTGGCTGGTTCATCGTACCATGAGCTCTTGCTTCAGATGATCGCCATTATTGTAGTCTTTGCCGGGCCTGATATACCAGCTTCCCACCTCATCCCCATACACACCATGGTACGTTTGGTCTCTGACAAAAGCACTCCAGTCGTACTTTGTCAGGTAAGTGCCATCAGGCTTTTCCCACGTTTCGTCCTGGACTTTTACAGCGTCGACGTACTCTTCCAGCCGCGGCAGCGCACCGTCCTTGACATCGGTATGCCCGTTGGTAAACGACGCGTTGTCCAGGCGCCAGAGCGTGCGGAACTCGCCTAGAGTGGGCAGAGCGCGGTTCACAAAGTACTGGTATGCGCCTGGTAAGTCATCGAAAATCACCCAGTGAAAGTCGCCCTCGCGCGCGGTAAACTTGACGTCAATCCAATCCGCATCCGAATCTACAATCGCTGCAGACGTCCATGTGAGATCGGATGCCGCGCCATCTATAAGATATCTTGTTAGTTTCCAAAAATAAAATATCCAAGGGACATGACAACATACTGTAGCTGACATAGTGCCCCACGGCGTTGCCCACGCGGTCTTTCCCGCGGTACATCAACTTATTCGCATACTGCGCGTTTTGCGTAACATTCCACAGCTCGTTTCCAAGCACCCATGTCGAAGGCCCAATTTCTTTCAGAAAGCTCTTGGGCTGCTGCTGCTGCTGCTGCTGCTGCGTCGCACCAGCGGGCTTCTCTTGAAGAGGCGACGCCGCAGCCAATGCAGCAGCAACACCAAGGAGCGTGAGCGCGCTCGCCATCGGGACGTGGATGTCGGAGTCGGAAAAAAGAAGAGCGGCTTGGCAGCCGGGACGCAACTGGCTCTGATTTGGCGAGACATTATATATATTGCTCTCTTGATTGCTCTGCCAATGTACTTCAAGAGGCGCGCATGGCTGGATTTCCTGCCCGCTCGGTGGAGATGAGGCCGAGGCCTTTGTTTCCGGTTAAGTATAGGACCGGCGGGGTTATTCGGGGTAAGTCAGTCAGGACGGTAAGCACCCTAGTTCCCAGCTGGGCTGCTCTGGACAGTATATTTCCTGCAATCGCGGGCGTTTGCTACTGATTAATAGCGCATTTTTTACGCCGTCTGTGCGGGGCTCCCTGACTCTGCGTCCTGGAAACGGTAGGTGATAGCCGCATCGCGGTGTGCTGGGGAAGATCTGACACGATGCTTGTGGAAAGCTTGATTGCTGGGGCCAAGAAACGCCTGCAGCAGCTGGGGAAAGACTAGGCAGGGGGTTTGTTATCGTGACCTAGGCATCGGGCTAAAGAGCATGCATACAGTAGTCTGGATTCAAAGGGCCGATGGAAAGAAATTCCAGGACCATATCCTGCGGCTCGCTTTCCCGTTGCAGATAATAACCGCTGGCTGAACAGTACTGAAATGGGATTGTCGCTCGGAGATCCGAAAGGATACGCTTTGCGGGAAAATGTATTGAAGTAGACATAGATAGATGTTCTGCTGACTCCTCTAATCAAGATCCGGGATATACGGCAATGCAAGTTCCAAGTATACAAACAACGAACGGCGAGTGTGTCTTATCTACTGCTCCAGAGCTTTGGCATCAGCTTCCTTTGGCGTATGCGTTCCCGAGTCTGCCGCCTTTTCGCCCTCGACAACGGTAATAACACGCCCTCCGCGAGGGCCACCCTTGCCTGTAACATCGCGCCACATGCCGCCAAAGTTCCGCACCAAGCTCTCTCGGCCCTCCCATAGCGGATAAACACCCACAGCCATGGTCGAACACAGGAGCCAGATTATACCAACAATGACCCAGCCAGAGAAGAACGACTTGCTGAAGATGTAACCTGTACCGTACAGCGGCATGGGCCAAAGTACTAGTAGAATAAGAGTCATTGTCGCAGTAGTGATCTTCGCAATCTTGGAGGCACGGAACAGCTTTGCCTGCTCGGCGGCTTCGGCTTCTGGCGAGAGAACGCCGTGACGACCATGTACGGCTTCCAGGTCCATGTGTGCAGCTGCGGTAACATCTGAATCGTCGACAAGGCGGATGTTCTTCATTGATACCCAGTCATAGTTGTCTGAAGGCTGAGTTAGTAAACATATGACGTTTTCAGAAGAAAAAACTTACCAACTCCAAAGATCAACGTGAGGACGGGGATAAAGATGAGAGGAGATAGTAGGGCAACGACGTTACCCGCCAACATGGGATTGTTGGCACCAGAAGTCTCCACAGTAATTACTCCATCGTTCAATTTGGCCGTAGTGACGAGCCAAGCGGTGATACTGCAGCACAGCCCAAGAACCGGGGACAAAGTAGCTGCCCATTTGTTCTGGCCTTTCCACATCAAAGTGAGAGTTGCTGGAAGCACTGCAGACGAAATTATGACGCCCATGAAGACGTACAGCCATCCCATGCTACTCATGTCAGCAAGATTCGTGTAATTGGGTCAGCTGCAACTCACCTTATGCCTGCATACCACAGCCCCGTTGAGAAACCAGCCATGACCAGCCCAAATCCGCATACACATACGTGCGAAGTGTATACGAGACGACGGCCACTAGCGTTGGTGTTGATATAAGTACCGTAGATGTCGTAAGTCAAGATACTGGATACGGCGATGAGTTGTGCGGAAAACGCAGACGTGACAGCCATGAAGACGACGAGCAGGGTGGCTACAGCACCTCCAGATCCGAGGAGAGCGACTGCAGCATATGGAAGGGTGAGCCCGGCACTGACAGATGCTTCGTCCATGACATTAGGGTAGGTGGGGAAATATTGCGTATGCTGGAGTGCAAGGGCTGCGAGGCCCATAGTGGTCGCACAGAGCCACTAAGACGTGTGTCAATTACCATTCAGCATCAGATCAAAAGGCAAACATACCGGAATAGCAAACCAAGAAAGACCACCAATGATGTATCCGGGAAGTGCATGAACCGGGGATGCAGCAATTGCCTTGTTGTAGTCTGGTGGATGTCAGCCTCGAAACAGAAACATCACCCCGGAAAACTCACATCCATTGTCCATAAAGACGGTGCCAAAGTTCCCGATAATGTTAATCACGAAGAAAATGGCACCCTCCTTGCTCCTCATTGTAAGATAACTTCCACCGGCATTTCCGGGTACTGGCGATATGGCAGAGAGCTCTTGCAGGCGGTCATACACAGCGCCCGGCGATCCAAGCCTATCGCCAGTCGCGTAGGTCGTGAAAGCGAAGATGAGAAGAATGATGAGGAGGATAACGGTGTGCACATAGTCCGTGAGGAATGTGGCCTTGATTCCACCGAACATGGTGTAGACGACGACTCCAAGAGGAAGAAGGAAACAGGCTGCTGCTGTGGGTACTCCAGTAAGGGAACTGATAACGGCGGATCCACCAGTCAGAAGCATGGCGGTGACAAGAATGTTTGTGAATAGTCCAAAGACAATGTACACAAAGTGAGTCGCCATTCCGTATCGCGCTCGAACGGCTTCGAGGAAAGTCTGCCGAGAATTAGTCGTGTGAATCCGGGTTATCGATGATAACACGTACGTGAGCGTTCGGTGCTCGTCTCTTAAGTTCAATGGCAACAGTGGCGAACAGCAGAATTTGAACGGTGGCACCAGCAGCATACCAGAGAGGGCCAGATACACCTTTAGTTGTCAGCGTTGTCATCCAGCGCGATATTCTTCTCTAAGCATACCATAGCGAAATGCGACCGAGGAGCTCTGCAACAACGTAGCTGCCCATGTCCAAGACGACACAACTGCAGAGGCGACGAGACCAGACTTGACAGTGCGACCGGCGGTTGAAAACATTTCAGAAGTCTGAAGTTCATTGTTGTAGCGTTTCAGGACCCACGTAGTAAAGACCTTGAAGCTATTAGTTTATCCTGCTCGCTATGTTGCAGCATCGTGTTGAAGGGAGCACATACCATGCCAAGGGCAAAGAGAAAACCGACACCAAGAACGATGCCATAGCCCCAAGCCTGTCCTAGAGGGGATGCCGAGGGGCCAATGGGTGTACCACCGCCAGCCATGTCGAATTATGTTGTGCGGAGTAGAGTCAAGTTGCAAGGCGCTGGTTGTCACATCGACTTGGTGGGGTAGACCAAGTATCTATATTTTCGTCTCAGCGTCATGGAACCTATTTCCCCGTGAAAATATGGTCCCAGAACCGCTATCTCCAGACCTCGCAGACAAATACGGGGAGCAAGTTGATAGATTTGGCGTCGAGATGTGATTGGCCAAAGATAGACGTCTGTCAACTTAGGGTAAAGGCTGAACGATCGCCACGCCCAGTAAGTGTCCAGGTCGGTACGAATTTTGAAGCTTGGTTCGTCAATTGCATCTTGCCATAGATGGCCCCCAGCATCTTAGCTTGCTAGGCGCGGCGGGGTGCCTCGCTTGTGCTGATAAGAGACAGCGGATGACTGCAACTGTGAGGAACATGCCTTGTGCTTGTCAGATTGCAACGGTGAGCGCCGAATAGCGTACCGGAGATTTTCTTGGGCGACTCTGAGTGGCTGACATGTGGAAACATAGTCGTGGGGAACAACATCTCAGCTGGGCGTGGAGATGCCGAGCGCTTTGGGGTGGTCATGGTGTTGGTGGTTTCGATGAGGTAAACATGGGACGGCAGATAAGCTATGGCGCATTATCCAATCAGAGGCGCTGTGCGTGGGCCCCGAAGTCGGCCGTGTACCCTTGGCCATGGACTCTTTCTCCACGGCACTGATCGACCTGCATCTCTGCATTAGATTGTTACTCGATGGCTTTGACAAAACTGTGCATCATATGCACTGTGAAAAGTTTTTTTGGACGGTCCTCTGGCCACAATCACGCCTTCACCAACGCAGCCGCTCCTTCAGCTGAGAACATATGCCATCAAGACAATTGGCCAAGATATCATCATTCGAGCTCTTGAGGGAATAGCTATAATTGGTGCTGTTGTGCAAATAAACATTTTCCAGGCGGAATTGGGAATGAATCTCTGTGAAAAGACTAAACACAATAAATGACAACGACCAGCATACAACGACGGTTATGCTATTGTCTATACACAGCCTATCTGCAAGCTGTGCCGACCTTTGTTCAGCCTCCGTGGGGAAAGCTCTTGGTTCTCATGTTCTGGACCTTGATATGTACTTTTGTGGCTGAGAACGAAGACTTAGGCGCTTTTAGAGTCATGCAATCCCGTCACCCTCATTGACAAGTTTACATCTTGCGTTACTCAGGAGGTGGATGATCGGCGATCGGGTGGACGCTCCCCACCTGCGGAAGCATCTCAGATCCTGTCTGTATGTATTTGGTTTAACGTCCCCTGCTTAAATCCTCCTTCTCGGATACAGTCCACCAGCTGAACTAGCGTTCACGCAGCTGAGTCAGTGATTGAAGGACACATTTTTTCTTTCAAGGGTTTTCCATATAAAGTCCTCAGTTGCCACATTCACGCCATTACGCGGATGTCTACGGAGGTGCCTTTCAAAAGTATTGTCTGCCAAGAATAATCTAACCGAAGTGCGGCCGCCTTAGCCGAGGCTTGTCTCTCCCCTCTATGTACTTATTACTACCTTATAGCTTAATTATCTTTTAAATATGTACAAGAATTCGCTTAATCTAAGCTTAGATCTTAAGTTGTGAGAGATCTCTCTAGCAGTTCTGCCAGACTCTAACTGCCTCAGCCCTTAACTACGGAGCTCCTTTCTTTGTAGTCTCTCTTTTTATATAGAACTAGCATAGCTTAATGCAGTTACAGTCTAGCGAGTTTCCACACCAAAGTAGTCTCTCAACGTCGTACAGGCGATAGATCACACCCTAATAGTAGTAGGCGTGGCTAGGTGCCTTATCCTCTATTACAACAGTCCGAGGTCTATCTTAGAGGCACTCTTTAGCAAAAGGAATTAGCTTTAGAATTAGAACGCAGGCCTAATATCTCTACTAGTCTATACTACCTCTAGACTTACGCACTAGCTTACCTGTTTTCTTTATCTATCTCTATTAAGGCTTCCTGCCACGCTTATTGCGTAGCCCTATCCTTCTTATAGACTCTAACAGCTCCTATTCCTCTTACTATAGAGGCTTAAGCTTAGCGTTTAGCTGCTTAATTTAATAAGTAGCATCCTCTCTCTCTGCCTTCGTCTCTAGCTAGTAGATATAGCATAGACCTTTCTTGTTATATAAGAAGCAGCCCTAGAACATAAACTTAGAGTATCCCTTCCACCTCTCACAGATGCAGCTCTTAACTACCCTCTTGTCTGCCTTTCTCTAGACTCTATAGCTCCCACGTTAGTAGTTAATTACCACTAACGTCTTGTCTATCTAGATAACATTCTTCTAGTCCTCTAACGTCTAGTCCTTGTAAGGGGCTGCGCTCCGGGGAGCAATCGCGAGGTATACAAGAGGTTGTATTCGATAGAGAGCTATAGAGTCTACTTGCGTGGTGTTTATTTACTTGTCGGAGAAAGGTTGCACCGAGTGTCTGAGCGCGTCGTCTGGGCGCCGCTCAGGCCTCGCACAGATGCCGGGTTGCAGAGTAAGACCTGGCGTCTGCTGCTTGACCAAGATTCCATCGAGGAGCTATCCAAAGGGCGTTCAGCCCGTTACAATACCCCCCTCCTTAGGGTGGTACTGCGTCGCCTCTTCGAAACCCCTCTGGGAGGCGGCCCTCGCTGTCTCGCGCAGCCTCCGTGAATGCTTCCCATCGGTCCACTGCCTCAACGTCCTCTAGTAGTTCTGCTGGTTCGAGCGTCGTTCGGTGGAAACCTTTTCCACTTCACCTCGTAGTATAGCTTATGCCCTCTCCCACGACGGCGTACCTCCTCTGCTACAATTTTCTTCTACTTCCCATTCATCTTCTCCATCTACCTGCAGCGGCTGTGGCTGATAGTCGTCCTGAACCTGGGTTTGGGAGCGGATCGTTGCTAGCAAGGTTTCAACCTATCGACATGGAAAACAGGTGTGGGCCTGGGGGGCGTGTCTAGTT